CACCCTTGGCTTCTTACCGCCCCAAAGAAATTTTCCAAGGGGTCCTGATTAAGATGCCGCAACCACACTGACGACACGTTAAACTCATTTTGTAGTTTATTTATTCTACTCAGTGTCCACACCCAATTGGTAATGGAGGGAACCGATTGTTTTTTACCATTCGATACAAATTTCATCGATTTAAAAATTTGTACTCCCTCAATCCAAATTTGGTGATGTGCCGAGTTTGGCGTTGCTGGCCCTAGTAAGGGTTTTGCATTTCTATTTTTCTGTCGACTGCCATTCACGGAGTCAAAGATATTGTCCATGAACAGCAGTAAATCAGCGGTGTCCTTACACTCAGCGGGAAGTATGTTCTTACCTGATCTGATATGAATCAATACTGAAAAAAAAATTGTATGACAGTTTAATCGCCTAAAGTTCTGAATTATATTTATTTTTGCAAACTACTTCAATTGATTTCAAACACGTAACAAGTATTTTTTCAAAACGTGACTGATTATAACACTTTCGTGAGATATTAGATTTTCCGGAATAGTACATTCGCTTGTTGCATATTCTAGTTATACAATAAAACAAATATATGTATCTATCACACACACACACATATATATGTATCTATCTCGTTTTGACTCATATAAAATAAAGTCTGTTTGCTTTGCTTCTTGCACCGGCACAGCTCTGCATCACCCAAGGCTCGACTGGTAGAAAATGCCTTAGGCATTAAGTCCGCCTATGTACCCGCCTTGTGCATGAAGTTTGAATAAATAAATAAAACATACATTACCTGCCAAGTATCCCATATTAGACGCCATAGTACGACTGAATATTTGTGAGGCAAATTTAACCTTCATTTTATTAATTTTTAGAGGGTTGATATGATATTCCATTAATTTTGGAATCAACCTAATGCCTTTGTAACCAGGGTTTTCTTTGAGAAGTAAATTTAAATGCGAACATTTTGCAATTTTTGTTACACCATCTTTGGTGAATTCTAAATCTTTGCACATAAAGTTATTTCTAATTCCTTTGAGGAGATGTCATCAGTGTCATCATCATCAGGTCATAAAGTGGTACAATTTCTTGACCATTTATTAAAATTTTATTTTCTTTAGGCTCTTCACCTTTTCTCAAATAAATTCCCCTGTTCTCATTAATTAACAGTTTCAGAGCCTGTCTGTTATTAGGACCTGGTCACATACAGTAGCAACAACTATGAACCCTGATTCTTGCAAACCTCTTATCACGTCCTTTATTTGTTGAGCTCGTTCAGGTCCCTTAGTAGCACTCGACGCGAATGTATATGATATTGCCTGCTTATAATTATAAATTAAGCCACGTAACATAAAGACTTGAGCATGATCTGCAAATTCAGTTTTCCTGTTTTGCCCATTGTCAACAAGACTTGTGATTTTATCTTTTCTCTCGTTATATGCAACATTGCTCTTCAAAGAAACTTCGTCAAACATAACAACACATAACCTTTGTTCTATTTTCATGTTGTCAGCTTTATTTTTCAATTGAGAGAAAATATTACTGTTTATCCCAGGCTTGATGTTACAAATTTGTACTAACTTAATTAGTGTTTGCTGAGCAGGCAAAATAAAAAAATCTCAGAAATCTATATCCTTTGGGACTTTGCTTAAAAATAGATAAGGAAGCAATTTTTTCTTGTAACGTAAAACGTCGCTCCTTTTCTTTTTTGTGGTCCTCTTGACATTGCATACTAATTAATAATTTTCTTGTACTCGTACAATTTTCTAGTATGTCGCATACTGCAGGGTTGGATGCAATTTGTTTCGCTGCTTTTACATTGACAGACAGTTTTTTCATTTTGCTTAACTTAATACTTGCAGCAACAAGTTTATCCTGCAGGTACTTTTCTGTATTCGTAAGGAATACTCGACTCTTAGCTTTCTTCACCGTTGTTTTGTCTCCTGTAATTATATAAATTAAATAAAGTTAATCTATTTATTCAAAACTTTTTTTAGTTATACACAAGATTTTATTTGCACAACTTACCTAGATTAAGATGCACATTCGTTTCTGAAGTACTTGGTAAAGCAGCTTCTTGCATTGTAGCTGTGAGACCTGAAATGAATAATTGCACGAATTTATAACTTTTGTATATGGCGCCACTAAAATAAAGGAAAAAAATATATAAGTATAAAATGTAAACTTGAACAAAAACAATTTGAAGTCAACAATTGCAAAAAAATCCATAATTTGTTGGACAAATCCAAACTTATTAGTCTAACCACACTTTAAAGTGTGCTTACTACGTTATATCTACATAGTACCGAATGAATATGTTGTAGCGTAATAAGGACGGGGACTACATGAGAAAGTGCCTGGGTGACTGAGATTCATTAATTTCTTTTTTGTGCATTGTTTCAAGTAATGCATATAGGATACACACGATATTTAGTCAGTCTACTGCACAAGCACTTATTTACTCATCAACAATAAGTAAATTAGCTTCTAGTTGTGCCCTTTAAAATGAGATACTTTAAATCATAAACATTGGTATAGCTATTGTTTGGAGAATGAAGTGGACTCATTCAGGGATTTAATTAAATTATAATTACTTGAGGGTGATGGTCCATGGGCCAGATTTAGTTGTTGTAGGCTAGTGGTTGAAGGAGGAGTCAACGGTGCTGAAAAAAAAAGCAAATATATATAGCACTTCAAATTATTTAGTAAAAAAATTACATAATTATACGTTTTAGATGCTATGAAGTGAAATAAATCGATGATGGCATGATGACCAACTTTCTGGCTTCTGACTAAATGTAACAACCGTCAATGTCTTACGATTAACAACAGGCAGCTATACATAATTTTATGCTTTACAATGTCACCAATGTCCTCGATAAACTTGTAAAGTACATTGACATTGTACTAGCATTTGCTAGGTGTAGAACCCGGCAACCATGAGAAGAATTGGTGTCATTTATATTTACCTGATTATGTTGATTGTAGGTTCTGAATTTGCTGCAAAGGCTGTCTGGTGGTATTTATTAACGAAGTCCGAGACAGTAATGCTGAAAAATAAAACATAGGTATTTGAATAAAGCAATTAATTACAAAGGCATTAAATATAAATTTTGTCATAACACTAGCCTGTGAGACACTTTTGTTTACGCAAAATAAGAATGTTGGAATGTTTAAAATAATATTGTAATATTAGGGTTTTTAATATAAGTTCTTGTGTGGTTTAACTCTGTTAAAAATGTTATGGATGAACCACTCTTATCACTTAGGGGTAGGAAATATTAGCCAATTTTTCAGATCTACTGAATGTGGATATAAAATTTGATAAAATTATTTCAGAGGAGTTAGTCACATTCTGACACAAGAATTTTATATACATATAAGAGTTTTTATGATATCAGTCTTAAAATGCTTACAATTCTGACATGTTGCATATGACAATGTAGCACTGGGGGTGTGTAACCTGGGGTGTTTATCCAAAAGTATTTTGCAATATGTAGTGTTATACTTACAGCGCATTTTCAATGTTGGCACGGCAATATTACTGATTCTGTTGTTACGGCACAAATATTTATCCTCAAAGTGAGCATGACACACTCTATGGTTCAATATTTGTTCATTCTTCAAACAAGTTCAAGACTGTTAATTGCATACAGCCAAGTATTGAAGCCTTCTCTATCAACTACAGGATTCGGGAACCCATGAAGTACTTGATGCATACCTTAAATAAATAATAAAGTTTTATCATTGAAAAATAATCAAATTCACACACATAACATCAGCTGCATTGTCAAGATATCAACTTTATTATAAAATATGTAAACTTGCAATAAAAATATTGGCTCCATTAAACTCATAAAAAAACATGATAGGCAGTAAAGATAAAGATAATTTATTTGTAAAACACGAGTATACAGAACAAGATACATATTTATATGTTGTAATGTAGGATGTTAAAAGGAGTACAATAACCTTCATGTTTTGCTGTGGCTAACAGCGTACAAATGTATTAACTTAATTAAAATTAATATAATGATTTTTACATGGCATTACAAAGATAAACACAAAAAAAAAAAAACCTAAAGGAACCAATTGAATAACAGATGGATAAAAATGTCATAATCTTTGATTATTAATATGTATTATTATTAATATTAATAATCAAAGGTCATAATGTTAGGAATCTGTTAGAAATTCTGTCAAATTATAGTAGCACCTCTCAATCAAATATTTTTTTAGGTGCACTTTAAAATGTTTTATATTTAGTAGCTAGTCTTAAGTCAAAATGGGGCTTGAGAAAAATAAATTAAGTTTATAAGTATATTGCTATAGGTTTTAAAATATAGGTCTACTTGTGCTGTTGATTTCATTAAATGTCATAGTACATTTAATTTGATTTGTATTGTTTGGGATTGACAACAAGTTTATGAGTTCGTTACACATAAACTTGTTGCTGTTGTAAGAAGTGAAGAAGCTTGTGTTAAATAAATAAATAGCTGGTCTGGCATACCTCCTCTCTCTTTACACCCTGGGACACAGCAGTATCTGCCCGAAGACATTGTAGGTTAACTTCACTCACAAGAATCCTGCCTCAATTAGAAAAACCTTCTCTGTTCACAATTATGCATTACTCGGAGGAACGTAAGCTCAACTCGACGAGAAATTCAGAACGAAACACAAAAAGGAGATCACAAACAAATTATCGCAAAATAACCGGTGCAAGCGAGCTATCAGCAGACATTCTTCTTTGTGTGTGTGCATGCATACACAGCATTATTTTCAATAGAATTCTCTAACGCCATCTATTGGATCTACAGCGAAAAAGAAGACCAAACTGCCATCTCTTATTCATGTTGTTAACATCATCCGTCTACGTCACGATGTAACCCGACAAATTTAAAAACACATTAAAACTCATTTTGAACATGGGCTACGTCAGACTTCGTCATTTTGTATCATTGTATCCATTACTGTCCCCAGTTTTTTATTCTAAGTTTGAAGCCCCTGCCAGGAAGCAAGCGTGTTGTGGTTTTGGTCCGTCGGGAGAAAATACAACCAACATTGGATAATCATTACAATGGACTCTGATGTAATTTCTAATACCTAAGATCAGTGCGTAAATATTTCGACGAAATGTTATCGTCGCGAGGCTCTCCTAACTCAATACAGTAAATGAACAGTCAGTGTTTGTCCATCAGAATGTCGGACGAAATATGTTTGTATGATACTACTTATGACTGTGTGCCAGACAGTCTGTTTGATATTTGTATGGACTACATTGTGGTGAATCTTAACACGATTACTAATTTTGACCGTGAGACGCGATGGCGTCGATTCAAAGAAGATGTTATATTGCCTTCCGAGATTTGCGAAAAATTTATTCGCGCATACCAGAAAAAATATCGCATAAACGACAACATTGCGAATATGTTCCGTGATAAATATCGCACCCGGTTGCATCGTGTTAGATTGCGAAACTCTCGCATTACTGATGAAGGGCTGCGCTGTCTGATGGAGCACAAGCCCTATGAAGTTGAACTTAACCAATGTGAGTATTTGTCGCAAGCATCTCTGGAAATCATCAGCAACAATAGTCAGAATCTGGTGTCACTAAAATTTGGCCCCCTGACTTACGTATTTCCACAAGATGAAGGTATCTACCGCCAGCGCGGATACATTATCTATGCTCCCAACCTTAAGAGACTTACCATCCAGCGGCGAGGTCTGGCAATATTCCCTTTGCTGCTATTGAAACCACTACAGCACCTGACTCATCTTGATTTGTCTGAGTGTACGTCGGCTGGCTCAATTTGGGCTTTGAATGAGATGACCAACTTGCGATACTTGGTATTGCATGCAGTCCCATGGACAAAAGACTTAATTGATTGGATATCTGGTATGCGTCTCCTCACACACTTAGATATTTCTCAGTCAAATGAGAGACATGGGAAATACTTTACCCCAAATGAAATATTGACCCAGTTAGTGGAAAGCCTAACAGAATTGGAGTCACTGGATATTTCTGGCACTAATTTGGCGGGCACTGGGGCTGCTGCAGTTTCTACTGTGCATCAAGGTACTTCTGACAGTATGGAGTATGAAGTACGCTGTGACATACCAGGACTGGTGAGCCGAGTCAACCGCCCACTTGAGTTTCTGGGCTTGTATGGCACTCATCATGGAGCCTGCAAGCGTCATGATATACCCGCTAAAGTGGTAAGTAATTTTCACTTGCTCCTAATCTTCTTATGGTTTTTCTGTTTTGCTTCTATATGAAGAATAGAGGATTGTTATGGAACAAACATATCTTGTTTACATGATATATAAAGGATAGCCTTGATTGTTGTGTATGATGATGAAGAGATCTAAATAAACATATCTATCTATACATTTAATGAAACAGTATAAAAGTATGTTTACAGTAAATATTTTTCAATAGAACAATAATAGGATACTAATGAAACAGTAAGAGAGAGAAAAAAACAGTATTTGGTCTACAATGTTTCTGATTACACTAACTAAAGTATTGATTTGAATGTAAAAATGTATGAAACTTCGTCTTTGCTGTATGGCTAATAAACCTGGGCAATATCTTCTTATACATAAAAATAAATAGCTGTTTGTTAGCTGTTAAAACTCTGAAATGACTGGTTCAAATTATTTAATTGGTCTTGAAATATTCATGAATGTCCAGGAAAATTTTAAACATGAAAATCCACAAAAAATGAGTGGGAAATACTGAAAACTTTCATTTGCTTTCCTGTACAAACTAATCTTTAAGTAACGTTGAATACTTAAGAATGAACAAAACTTTTTGAAGGTGGTATTGTTAGCCAAGTCAACTAGTTAGTATAGGATATATGTATTTTATTTTGAAAATTGGAATAAAACAAACTTATACACAAATGAAGTTGCAGCCTTAGCCTCAATCTCCTCAATACAATTTAGTCGGCTGAAGACCTTAATGAAACAAAATACATCCAAATCTATGGTCTATTTGATCAGGATGTATTTATGTATTTATTACTGCATTGTGATACTGTTGTTTTTTAAGGGTTTAGGTATTTACAAAATTTAAATTGGTGGCACAAGTATATTCAGATTAATCTGGTTTGGTAATGTTTGTCTGTGACATATTTTGTGAAATTGATAACAATGTAACAAAATAACTAAGTATAATAGGTATGTTTGGGGTTATAGAATGGGTACACTTAAATTTCATCTATCTAGTAGTGATAAAATTTACTAAGTCTAGCTAAATCAAAATAGAATTTTAATAAGAGTAGTAGTACTACCATCATAAGCAGATGACAAATCTTGATCTGAGTATTTTTATGAACATTGCTATAAATTAACTTTTGATGTAGTTCTAATTGTTTGAATAAGCAAATCAGTTGTTACCAAAGGCAACAGAAAGTTTTACTCGTTTTTGTAAATGATTTTCAGTAATAATTGGTAACACTTGATAGAAATTGTCAAATGTGTATGTTGCGTGTGTTAAGTGCAATACAGCACTTGAGTGTGCACATGTACATATATACATATGTATGCTCTGATCTTTTAGTTACATACTTAAGTAATATTTAACAGACATCAGGACCCACTAGATATCTATTCATACTCCTGATTTGTTTTATGATATTGATGGAAACAAGGGAAGGTTACAAAGACAAGTGCATGTGGGATGGTTTGATATCTCTATGTCCATCTAAAACTATCAAAATGGTATAGTACAGCTGTAATGAGCTTTGGACTACAGATGTGCCGGTTAGTGTAGAATTTCGGATGTTGAAAATTCACCATTTATACATTTATATTAGGGAATTATAAATCGGGCAAAAGAGTTGAGTAAGAAATTTATATGATTAAGTAATTGTAGCAGATATTAAAAATAATCACTCATGAAAATCTTTATTATTTTGCCGTTATGTCTTATCTCTGAAAAGAGAACATTTTTTTAGAAAGAAATATCTCAGTTTCTTATGCACATGGCAAGAAAACTTCTTAAAATCTTAATTATTTTAATAAATTTTACCAGGTACGGCGCCGCGAAGATACTGTGCCGACTAGGATTTGGATCAAAACTTCGAATAGTAGATTAATCGCTAGTGAACGAATAGTCGATTAGTCGTTTAAAAAAATCGATGCCTTTTATAATGATCGTATGTCTCATGCCCCGATTTTGCGGGATCTTGTTTTTGTTACCTACGGTTAAATTACGTTTCGTTACGTAGCGCGATATTATGAAATGTTTCCGAACATGTTGCGCGGTAAATGTCGCCTTGGAGATAAGAAGCTTACGTTCATCAATTTTTAGAGTCAACAAAATCAAATAGACAAGATTTAATGGTCACCTTGTTGCCCAAAATCTTACTCAACCTGGATTGACTCCAAACCAACTGTTGCGGGTCACGTCTCTATACTAGTGAGATGAACAGTTATTCAAAGAATATCGGAATTTCATTATTTATTTTTCCTGATAATTTATGAAAAATGTATACCATATCCATTTATCCCGAAAAAATACTACTTTTACTGGGTCAGTTTTAAATCACATTGCTAACCAGAGCTCAGGTGTTAACCCGAGCTTAGAAAGGCGGATGGTCTTCATTGATTACGAAAGCACTACTGCTGGCCAGTACTCGAATGACATTCACAAATGACTGGGACACCAGTAGGTACAAGCGAGGCGAACAAAAACAGATTACTAATAGTATCTAGGTCCGCATATAATAACAAGGACTGCTAAGAACTACGGTCTCCTTAATTACCTGATAGAGATCTGGACTTATCGCCTATACAACCCCAACCCAGTAAATATGAGCCTGGTCTTGTTTTAGGTCGGTCCAGTAAAGGTAACCACATTTTGAAGTATTTTATTTACATCCTAAAGAATAATAGATATTGATACGTTTTCTGTATGTTAAGGTTTTCTTTTAAACGAAAGGGACAAGTTTTAAGTATATAATCCAATTACATTATTCGAGGGTTGCCTGGTAGACATGGTAACTAGGATGTGTTCCAAATGCACTAATTCTGTAAATGCACAGGTTCTTAAAATACACTGAGAAAATTCCAGATACTATGCCACTACTGAAAAATTATTAAAAAAAACAAAATTTTTAATAATAATTGCTTTTTAAACCGACTTGCTATTTTCTTCGGTTCACTGGATTTTATTTAGCTCAATACCTGTTATAATATATACAAATCAATCAAGATATTTGATAAGTTGTTTTAGGAAAGTTTTGGTAAAGGATCGTTTTTCTTAATACTTTTCTGATTTCGCCGAATGAAGTACCTAAGTGAATGAAAATGAAAATAAAAAAGCGTTTATTCAAAATTACAGTAAATTTACAAAAAAAAAATATTAGGTACTTCTGCCAAACTGTAAAGCAGTGCCTTCCCCCGTAAAATCTGGACAGCATGCTTAGTGGGCCTCACCTGTGATGGTTTGATGTCTCCGCTTGGGTCTGGTGCTGCCTGGGGCATGATCGTTCACGCGCTCCGCCTCCTTAACTAGCATGACCGCTTCGCAAAAGGAATAGACAGCTTCCTAGTACTTCCCCCCTGCACCATGGTCTTAACGAAGGCCTCAAGAGACAGCCGCTGCCGATATCTTCCTTCTAAGGCCACCGCAGTGGTCAGCTGAAACGGATGCATCTTGCGGCGGATAGCGGATGATCTTCGCAGACGAAACAGGATCGGAGGGATTTGGGTGGATAAGAGGTTTTGGTGCATTAGGGCTAATTCTAAGATCGTAGAAAGGGTCTATTTCTAAACTGACTATTAATTGTGATTCGAAATCGCCCAAACATTAACAAAAGCCATGTACGATGGACACCCGCAACCGCGAGCAACGCAGGGCGTTCATAAATGTTAGTCTATGAACTAAATTAGGCAACAATGACTACAAAACCATGATAACAAAAATATTTAACAAATTGCTTAAATTTTCATAAGTTGATTGCTACAATTAATGCTATACTTATGCGAAGAAAATGTAAATTTCACCGAGTGGCACCTTAAGCACAGATCTGCGAACCGCGAGCAAGGTTAGCTCACAGGCTGACCAGAACCATTCCCGGGCGTACGGCGCTAAGCGTTCCCTGTGGGCCTAATATAGTTAATAGACCACAGATGGGGCCCAACAAGGCCGGTGTTCGGCCAGGGTTAGCAAAGGTTGGGGGCAAGCGCAATAAGGTACTGCAGCCTCGCCTTGGAGCAATATATGTAACGAGGAGGGGGTTTGAATCTTTAAGAGTCTGACTGACACTCCCTCCCGCCTTACCCTGGGAAGAGAAGTCATTTGATGAATTTCCTCTTACAAAAAACCGATGTTTTCTAGCGTCCCTACAAGAGAGCTTCACAATTTTTGTTTCTTTCACGAATATACCTGCTTGGTCGATATTATATTGTAATTTTTCTTTTTTAGATCACTGGCGATGCCAATGAAGAACAGATTCTCACTGCAGCTCGCGCTTATATGGAGCGACCGGCCATGTTGACCCGTGTCCTCAATGATCTGTATTATTTGTTCCGTTACGAGAACAATGCATACGTTGGCCGAGCTCTGTCTGTTGTCCTTGATGCTATGGATCAACACGTTACGGAGAAGCATATCCAGATATCAGGAAGGTAAGTCACATTGTTTGTCTACGGTTTTGTTGTTCTACATAAACATGTATTCTTAGAAAAGGAGTGAAGTTTCATTATTATGCAACGGGCGCCGACGAATTAAAGCGACGTAGCTATGGCACTAACGATAAAATCTCAAGTTACCGGTATAAGTACGTGATTTCGTGCGTTTGCTCATCAACTCAGTTCTTCGATGAAACGTTAGTTATTGTCAGTAATTTGTTTAGATTATCAATTAAAATCTTGTTGTAGCATCCGTAATGAAAACGTCATATTTTTTCCTTCAGTGTTTATGGATTATTGCATGAAATGCTGTCGAACTTTGTAGTGCAACTATTAAAGAACACATAGTAAGCCTACATTTTTCTAATTGATATAAGTACGATTATTTTTCCAACAGAATTAGCCTATTCGCCTCACAGGGCCGATTACTCAATAAAACAAAAGAAATCGTAAAGAAACTGATATCTACATATAAATCTAAATATTCGTAATACCGTTGTTACAAACATGAGCACTTAGATTTGCGATCTGTCATTGCGCCGGGATGGCATAACACCGTTTTATGTAAACGAAAATGAAATAGTAATGCCTAAAAATTAAATGACAAAGTTTCCAACATCAATCTTGCTTAAACATTAAATTGTATGAGTATTTCAATGTTTCTTTAAATCACTCACGAACCTGCCCTTTTAGTGCCACCCTGTTCTACATAGTAAAAGGCAAAGAAAAGGACCGTATCGGCATGAAGGTGAAGAGACGTATCATCACCGCGCTTCTGGACGGTATGGAGGCCCATCTCGGCGATGACACTATGATGAGGAATGGATGCCTCACTCTGTGCCAATTCAAAATCCCAACCGACGTGGTAAGTTTTGAAATTGTTAATTAGCATAGGGAACTCCTCCAACTTTTATCGTCATGACTCCACGAATCAAAATGGACCTCTCAATAATTCAATGACAAACGATGATATTGTTACCGATGACGATTATGTAATCCCAGTATTAGAGTCTTATAATTATGTTGCAGGTTAGGCCAGGTCAGGTAGGCTACGATAGGTTAGGTGTTCATCAAAGTTGTGTATGACTTTCATAAAACGCACAAAATAATATTCCGTTATATTGGGCAAACGAATACATGCGACACGAATTACACAAACTAAAATCGTTTAAAAACTTTATTTAATACTCATTAAATACGTCCCATTTCTTAATATTCTGTAGGCAGTTTGTAACAATTAAATATATGTCAATAAGCACGATCGACGTACACTGTCTGAATAATTTCAAGTTCTAGATTCGACTGATCCTGACCCTGATAATTTTGGTGCCTTGCAAGAAGGTTCTAGAATACAAGGACAGTTGCAAACTGCGCGTCATAATTTTTATGATATCGATTCCCACCCTCTCGGGATTTATTCAACGCAGTGTGAGGAGGTAGAAGCTCCCTCCCACCCTGTTGCACTGGGGGTGAACTGTAACCACCTATCACGTACAACGCTTCACCGGCATTGATTTATTGCTATCTCGAACTGGTTTAGATAGAGAGGACTTCATAGTTTCACATCATACTTACTAATAAAATTTAAATATTTTCATTCTTCCGTACCAGCATTTCGTTTACATATTTATGTGATCTGACATTGAGCCTTATTCCGATCAAGATCTTCGTATAATTTAATCAAAAATTATCAGCTCTTGAACGTTTTTCAACAGTATGTTTGAAATTCTTAGTGCATGGACTGCATCTTAACTAAGCATCCATAAATATGAAGTTCAATATTTGAATACGGTTATAATGTAAAGAAAACTACATGGTGCTTGCGGCAGCGGATACGTTCCTTTTGTTTTATGAATTTTATGCTTATTATAAACGTCATCGTATTTTATCAAATGTAAATGGATTTAATAATAGTAATTTATTTAGTTGGGGCGGTAGCTGGAAAACCAGCTACTGTACAATGTATTGCAGATTTAATACCACATGAAAAAGTTATTTGACGTCAATCTGGGTGTAACGTGAGATTTGGAAAATTGTATTCTACCTTACAGGATAATAATGAATTTTCTTAAGAAAAAAAGTAACGTGTCCGTTCTTATAGAGTAAAATTAATTATGAACGCACGCAACGCAAAGGTCAATTTGGAGAGATTAGTCTTTTTAATAATAATTTAAACATAAGCTTGGAAACTGATACCTAATTGCCATAAAGCAGTAGCTAGCCATAACAAACAAAAATGTAATCTATTTAATCTTAATTTGTGTAATGGTTTTGTTTATTATTCTCACTATCTGTTATTGTTACTGTGACTAAACTTGTTGTTTTTTCTTCCAGTTGTTCGAATATGAGCGTGTGGTACAGATTCTTTTAAACGGGGTGGCCGACGTCAATCAGGAAGGCTTTGTGCAGCGCATCGCTATCTACTTATTAAACTCATTAGCCTGCCAGGTTGACGGTAAACAAAAGACCTTCCTCGGAAATCAAGGAGCTATAGGGGTAAGTTAATTTGTTTATGCTTAACTGCAAGGTCTATTGAGAATAAACATTTTCCCCATGAACTTGATTTTATAGGCTATGCTAGCGTTACATAAATATTATTTATCATGCAACAATGAATCAAACTATCCTACCACGGCACTCGACGCGGACGTATTGTCCGGTCTCCTGGGATTGAAATGACCTATTTCTATTGAATTGGAATATGATAATAAAGGATCTGCATTTTGCAGTGTGCATCATATCATACTTGTTTAAAGTCAATTACAGGAGACGCTTGCGCTGCTGTTAACCGACCGGGTCGCTGTTAATACTTTTATTACGCTCCAAGCATTTTGTCTCAAGACTTCTGAATATAAAGAAAGTAATGCTAATTTTGCAACAGTAATAAAAGTTGTTACATGCTCATTGCCTCGCTGTAAAAATACTTTGATTACTAAAATGCCATTTCAAGTCTATTCTATTATTATTACTTCTATTACAAATAGTCTTGAATTTGTGCAGGGTGCGAATTATGAAAGAGCGCTCATTATCAAAATGCATATGGACTTACATGAACTCATGAGTAACTTATTAATCAACCAATGAGAAATTTAAAGTGCTAAATGAAGACAAAGCAGGTTCATAGTTATTATTTTGCTAGTAGGTTAGAGGATTTACGTGCACCTGCGTTATAGATGCGATCCGCAACATCCTTGAATGGATAGCTACATGTATAGGTACGTACGTAGGTAGTCGACGTGGCAGGATACCTAGGGAGTTGCGCCGGTGTTATTGATTTATGCATCTCATCGGCCCCTCGCCCCTGTCACCCCGTTGGTTTTACGAACCCGATGAAAGCTTGACCAAAGTGAAGCTAACTGCGTCCGCCAAAATTTTAAATCTCTACATGCAATTACATATATTGTTGCATGCATGTATATGTCACCAGATCGATTGAGCTAGTCAGGGCTCAAGCTTACAGCGTTATATGCACATACGAGTCGTTATGAGATTATTGTTTGTTAAAGTAATAGTGTATGCTGTTATTCTCGCGACTGTTAACTGGACCCCTTCCACTACTAGAATTGATGTAATGATTAGTATTCAAGGACCGATTTGGATTTGTTGTTTTGCTCTAGTGGGTGCTTTTTAGGCATTTCTTCTTTCTGTAGAGTCTTGAAAGCCTTACATGAGTACTTAATTCTACCACAGGGCTTTTCAGATCACATCATTATTATAGTTGTTCACAAATCATAAAAGCTTTATTAGTTGAAACCAAGGTACTCAACCTTGGTTTCATTAGTACCATTAAACGTAGGTACTAATGAAGCTGAAAGTGGACTCTGCTGAACTTTACATAAAGTAGGAAAAGTTGCTAACCGCAGTAACAGTTTAACAAACCGGTATAAATTTTAGCATGAATGGCTGACTACAGCATGAAGACTTAAGACTGTTATAAAATGTTGAACTGAAGAAAATAAACTGCTGTTTGAAATTCTTATGATGTAGGGTGAGTCTCGTTCGTTTTATTTGTGTACATTCGTTTGTACGACATTTTCTCGGTGACATATAGCGTCATTGATTAATGTTTAAATGTATATTTTCTTTCTTTGAACCCAATGTGAATTGGAGATGTGTAACTGTACTTGAACCTTTACTCCGTTTTTATGCGGAGATTGAATCAACAAGCTAACGCGCCATGCTAAATGCGAATTTAAAAGACGTTATTTTATACAGCGAATTTTTATTTATGTGTTTTCTTACATTGTTCCTTCACTTGAATGTGATATTAACTTATTTTTTTTTATTTTTAATTGTGTATTATTTTTCTCTAGCAACATTACTTACTTTATTTTTACTTATAGCTATTGCGTGATTTTGGCTTGGCGATAAAATGTGGTGGTTATATTTGCATTGCTCCCTTCGATAAAAAGTTTGATAACAATATTCGACAGAGCCTGTAAAAAAGTAACGAACTGTATAGCCACTCCTTTTATATCAATTTTACTCATCTTGAACTGGTCGTTTATTTGGAAGTCTTTCGTTATTTTTTTTGTACGGTATATTGAAAAATGGAAATATTTTTCTAAATAAATATGTTTTTTTGGATATTTTCGTACTGAAATGTATGTTCGATAGAAAATAAACAAATTTTTCGCCATCATAATATTGTATTTGGAAGCATTCATCATCATAACTCATGGGCAACTTAATAAACAATTTAAAACGAAAATTAGAACACGTGAAGTCGCTCCCAACGAAAGGTCATGTTACATTTTTTAAAATTCATTGTGTAGAATGGGTCTGACTCCTACTTTACTTGCCCGCACATTTTATGACTTGGCAGCAATAGATATAAAAAAAACATGGCCGTTATAAGTAAATTAGAATTGAGGTAGGAAAAGGCGGAAGAACTCTAAACCATGATTTCTCTTAGTCCATTCCACCATCGTTCCACTAGACATCTTGGCAAAACGTCACCGCTTCATGGTGGATATCCCACCCCGGATATGCACTAAGCGATTCGCCTCCAATTATTTGTGATAACCGCTAAGGAGTGGAATTCTTTGCCGGAGTCTGTGTTTCCGAATAGTAACTTAAGACCAGAGTATGATCTCCAGCCACCCTAAGCGCGGGTCTGCGGTCGGCGAGTAAAGGCAGCTCGCCACCCGACCAGAACCAGGCCCGAGCGTACGGTGCGTAGCGTTCCCCGCGCGCCTCAAAGAGCCAATAGACCACCACAGAAGGGGCCCCATAGGGCTGATGTTCAGCCGGGGTTGCGGGGTAATGAGGCACCGCGACCTCGGCCCAGAGCAGGAGAAGGAACAGGGGGGTTTTTAGTCAGTAAGAATTTGACACTCCCTCCCGACCGAGTCATTTGATGATTTTCCCCTCACAAAAAAAAGACCAGAGTGAATAAGTGGCTGGTAGATGTCCTTCATCATAGGTCATATCACCGCTTACTACGATATAGTGGCTAAACCAACCAATACCGGCCCATTACAAGAAAAACTACTCCCTTTAATCATTCATATTTTCAGCATACAATGTTCGGAAATTTATTCTTTGTACGCCACCATTTTAATTTGATAATTAAAATTTAATGCAAATTTAATGAAAATTTTGGATAGACCCCAACCTCTTATTAAATGTAGATTAAGTAATACGTAGCGATTATGACTCTCTGGCTATCTACGTCATGTCGACTGGACAAATAGGTTAAGTGGAAGTTAGAAGACCTTTTTTGTAACTTTCAAGAGCTGGGAAACCGCTTTTCATCATAAATTAAAAATGATTTAATAATGGAAATATATAGGTAAATTTTTCGTCAATTCATTATTCTGCCGCTTATTCCATTTTCCCTTCCCTACACGAGTCGAGATGAGATTACGGTTAAAATCTATTGTGAAACACCAAATATTGTGAAAATTTTGTTGAACGAGGCAAAATATTATAGTCGTAAAAACGCGTTTGTAACGTTTGTATATATAGATAAACTAAAATGTTATAGACTTAAATTAATGTTAAACAACCAACAGTTAAGACTATTATATACGTACCTTTCTTACTTTCATATCTCTTCATATTTTGTACAAAGCTACACCCAGGAGGTAGCTAAAAATAAATATTTTATCGATTTGACGCCAGTCTCTATTTCTCCGACTTTCTTGGGTTACAAGCCAATTATAATTGGCTTTAGCAACGGCCATTAAGTAATTGGTTGTTATTAGCTACTTATTAGTTAATAGACATATTGTATTGATAAGGAGGAATATTTCTTTTGTCTAATGATCATCATCACTATTGTCAACATTCACTTATAAACTCAAGATGATGATGATGTCCAGCGTTTAAAGCATTAAGAACTGCGTAATTTAAAACTTTTCGATTTGTATAAAAGTTTCATACGTTAGGCAACGCGACAGTTTACGGAAATAGGCAGCACCTATATTGCTTTAATTATAATGAACTTGTGATGGTGATCGGCGGCATACATTATGAAATTATAGGGCTATGTCTTCCGATCGTTCTCACGTTCACTGCCGATATGCTTAATTTATTTATCGGATACTTTGAGAATGTACTTGTAACAATGTCGTCAACATTTTAACCCGCGGTTGTATTCTGCCTGTCATACATTTATTATTAAAAGCGCTTCGAGAAGCTCTATTCATTATGTTGTCAGTAAAATGGCCGAAGTAAATTTATTACCGGTCAATGTTTCATGTACGGTATCTATTGTTTCAGAAAATGCTCAACTTGATATCTGACCGGTTGGAGCGCCGCATTTGCGACGATGTCCTGGAAGTGGCCTGGTCCACTATGTGGAACGTTACTGATGAAACCCCGCAAAACTGCCAGCGCTTCTTAGAAAATCGTGGCATGGAGTACTTCCTTGCCTGTCTCAAGGTAACGGTTTGTTTTAATACTATCAGGGATTCCGCTAGAACACATGAAAAAAATAATAGAGATCAAAGAATGGTGTACTTAGTAGTTGAAAAATACTGTCGAGTTTTCGAAATAAATATGGTTATAAGTTTCATTTTATGATACACAACTTCGGATAATTTCTAATTTAAGGCAGGAATCTACGGGACCTTCAGATCTGGAAGTAATATCTCCCGCACTGTTTTTTTTTATTTGGAATATATCTTTCGTTAATGATAGGATTTAATTTTCAAATTATAATCGGTAACCATATAATTACAGATATTCCCTGACAAGGAAGAGCTGCTGCGAAATATGATGGGCCTGCTGGGCAATGTGGCTGAGGTAGCTCTGTTACGTCCACAGCTCATGAACAAGCTGTTCCTGTCCGTGTTTTACGAGCTTTTGGACTCCTGCAGCGACGGCATAGAGGTCAGGATCTATCTATTTACTCATTACTTGTTAATATCGATGTAAGAATACATGTTGTGTTACCAAATAACAGCCACTGCACCTGCGATGCAATATTGAAGATGCCATGGTAAGAATGTGTAAACTTAGCTGTGCCACTATTCTCGCTGTTGCACGAGAATGGCAAATATTATCCTATTGGTGTACCCCTTTCCCCCGCTTTGTCTCGGCTCTCATGGAAAGCAGCGAACGACTAACTAAAATATTAAAGCGTTGAAACTTTGAAACTAATCCTTTAGAGATGTGTCTAAACAAGCTAAATAGTCTTTGTATGAATATGAACATATAACAACCTGATTCGTTAATAAAAGTATTTTAAAATTTTATATTATTTTTACCAAACTAGGTTAAAATAATACAAAATAATTAAAAAAGTATTTTTTTCATTGGACAATCATTCACTTGTAACATATCATTGTAACACACACAAAAAGGCATCTAAACTCACCCAAAACTCTTTACATAAATCAATCAAATCTGCGATCAGATCAGCAAAGACTTTTTCAAAATTTTAATAAAAACCCAATTGGTATAAACTTGTAACCCTATCTCTCTTTGTGTTGGATACATATTTGTATATTTTATTGTAGTAGGACGTCCAAACAACACGACCCACCTGTTTTATTCTTATGAAAAAATTAAATATTGTATTAATACGAAATATTTCAATGAGAAAAGCTTTCTGTAGCCGTAAATAAAAAAAAAAACATCGAGATGATCTTAAATCTATGATAAAGAGTTAAATATTTTTATTGTAATAGTATTTGAAATTGTAGCATCAGTTTGACGTTTGCGTAGTGTAACCAAATAAGTATTTAATTATTTCAATAATGGTTTAATTCCTTTTGCGAAAAAGTGAATGTTAAACTTTTGCTAAGTATATCTATTTGTTGAAATTAATAAGTACTTAGGTTCGCTATGTTCGGACGTTTCAATCAATAAATATTTTGTAAAGCGGATGGTGGATGATATAAGGATATGTTTTTTGATCAATGGATTTTGTCTCTGACGATTTCTCAAAGCTAAACGTAATGTAGTATAGAGAGAAATCGAATAATTATGGCGACTGATATCTTTGATAACGTCATTAATTTAAAAGTAAATTAATTCGAACACTACCTCTTAAAAAGCGGTTTATTTTTTTTTATTACACAAACGCTTTATATGGGTCGTTTTGAGTTTACCTGTTTCTAATGAAAACAGTATTTCATTACTTAATGAACATGAACATTTGCAAATGTTCGAAACGTTTGTGGTCTTATCATGACAAGTAATAAGTTTTTGGAGTGTTATAGATATTTTGTAATATTGACACGCATAAGGCAACACTTAGCAGAATGATACTGTAATGACCAAATTTGTAATTATAGTACATTATGGTACAAGTGTGTATTGGTGATTACCGCAGAGGGGCATTGAGACCTGAGCCGTTAGGCGAGGGTCTAAGGGGCCGAACGGTAATCATCAATACATACGTGTAGCTTACGATGTTTTTCAACACACTTCTGAATAAAATAATACTTAAAAAAACTTCAAAAGAGAAAACGAGACAACTTTAAAAATGTTTAGTAATGGCGGGAAACAGTATCATCAGCCATAGACTAAAAAATATTGTTTCTTTTTGGGCTTTCGCTGACAGCATATATTTAAAAAAAGAACTCCATTACTGACTTCTGAATAACAGTAATGAAAGTCACAGTTTGATTGTAGGTGTTATTACATACCTAATTGCCGTGGGATTAGAACCTCTTTATGAGGAAGTGTGTTGAAAAGATATTTATATTGAAAAAGTTGCTAAGAAAATAAGTGAGGCGCTACGGTGAAGAAGCCTCATATTCCTCTCTGAAGTCTACGCCGTGCAATTGATTCAGGTCGTGGAGCTCAACACAAGGTAAACTCTCAAAGATTGTACTATTTGTATTTACCTCTCTGGGCGCTACATCTCTGGAGCCAAGAAACGCAACATGGAGCCAGCACTATCCTACCTGTGACGACATTATTTATAATCAAGGTATGACTACAGCAGCAAGCGATGAAAAAAATCAGATCGATGATCCATTTCGGATTTTCGAGCTAATGCTTTTGCTAACGTAGTTAATACAATCATCTTACGTTTAAACTGGTCATCACTTAAGTCTTAGAAAGTAATAGTAAATCTGCTTGACGGCTTTTTTGTAAAGTAGACTTTGAAATAAACTTATTGAAAAAAAATAACTTTCAACAATGCCTTGAATCCGAAGCAGTGTTAATTGATTACAATTTAACGACAACAAAAATAAAGATTTCTGTGCACTCGTTACTATGGATATAATAAGTAACGAAGTACTACATATGACATTCTTTCAAAGTTTATCTTCTAGAAGAAAAACAAGTAAGAATAACCAATTAAAAATTTAATGGACAATAAAATATTGTCCATTATCTAGTAATGCTAGAATTGCTTTTTCTAGGCCAATCAACCGGGTAAGCGAATAGCTGTTGTTTGTTAGAGGCATTTTAAAGAAATTATACTTTAACGCTAACCCAGTTAGGATTTCATGCACAATTATTAAGTTTTAGATAAAAAATATCACACACCAGTAGTTTAAATTGTACTATTATGAAACTTGTACCGAGTACAGAGGGGAGGAGGTAGACGGCCGCGCGCCGAGCGCGCGGCTCGCCGCGGGCGGCCGTGGCTCCTCAACGAACCGTCTATCACCGACATGAGACGCCGCGGCAGATGGCTCGGCGCAAGGAGCGAGGTGGGATATATTTAAAAAATGTCATTAAGGCTAATATATCATTTTGAGTTTTTCTTAGTATGAGATATAAAGAACACTACCAAAAATAACTGAAAATCAAATCGAATTTCACCGCGGTTAAATACATGATATAAAAATTAATTTGAAAAACAGACTTCGAATTTCAGTTATCTTTGTAGGTTTGTGTAATTGCATTTACATTTTCTATTTATAGCTTAGTTCAATTAGTGAATTTTGGACATTAAAAAAATGGTACCTATTCCGTGGCATTGTGGGAAAGCCTTCTTGAAAGTGTTATTTTCTTTTTTAAGTTCATTACCTAGACATAATCATTTGGTATATTAGACATCGGGAAACAATGGTACAAACCTTTATTTATTTCTAGGATTTACTTGTAAATTTTTATTGTCTTTATGATTGGGTTTCAATCAATATTTATTAAAGTTTTTGAATAGTGAGCAAAATATTAGTTAACTTTTCTTTTGTTAGAATATTTTTTTACTTTTGATTGCCCATATGTAATGTTTGAATACACCTAAGTACTGTAACTGGCTGAAATTAGTATTTTAAAAGTGTTCCTCTGTTTTTTGTATGAGTTGGAGGGGGCACATTCTGCCTTAAGACATCAGACAAAATGAAACAGTTCTGTTTGTTTTGTCAGGGTTTGTAAAACAAAGATACTGAAATTGATAAGTTGTCTGCTTTTCCAAACTCACCAAACATAAAAGATGATCTTGTTGCAGTTTTTAATTTAATTTGTAAGTGAATGTTGAAATATGATATAAGTGCGTAAGTTTGTCTATATACAAATAATGTTTAATGAAATATGCTAGTAAATTGATGTTGTTGCTGAACCTATTATAATTGTTAAGTCATTTACCTAATTATAATCGAAGCTTTTCTACCCACACTAGGTAAATGGCTTATTTACTGAAGGAAGAGATGGAGATAGTAATTATATGGAATCTCATATTGATATGTATATAAGGAAATATATTTATATAAACGTAAAAAACGTTTACTTGCAAGTAAATAACTGTGTTGAAACGTGACATCGTATGATTTATAAAATCGAATATTTTCGGTTTCTTAAAACAATGTAAAACGTGTCCGAAATATTTTATTAGTCTGCCAACCCTGTATTTTTGTGTTATTGTTTTAATGACTATAATGGAAAATATAGTCTGACTTGTGGAAATCTCCGATCTCTTCCTTTTAACATTAGTATAATACATAGTTAAAATAATTTGATGTTATTGTTCATAAGAATTGATGTAATTATTTAAAGCGTGGTTTTATAACAGAGGGGTACACTATGCTTTAATGACGTATTACTCCATTGTCTATGCTACTGTCTACCACAGAACATTATAGTTCTGTTACAAGCTGCGATTGACGAATTGCAAGGACATATAACTTTATGAACTTGATGAAATCAAGTAAGTTGCTTGTCTTTAAACATTGCAGAATCAAGGTATCACAACAAATTCTATATTAGTACAACATAAGCTTATCGAATGGTTTCTATATTTTATTTAAATGCTCTGGTACGTTGATTCTTCAATGTGTGCGCCTTATAAGTTGCCCATAAATTGCTACAATAATATGTATAAGAAGCGCACTACGTGGTATTGTTTCCATCAGTTATCTTATTATGTGCCATAATGAGGTCTGATCTTAACGTGATCATCACCACTCATGAGACATAGATTTATGGTTTTAAGTTTATATCACCCATTTAAAAACAACAAACATTCAACTTTTATTTCCGCTTCATAAAATAACAAAGTTTGTGCTCATCCAGACCACTTTACTTAGTTACTTGGTTTTTTAGTTACTTTCTATAATCGAATATTCACAAATTTGATCTGATGAATACGGTCCGATGACTTAACTTCACATGAGAATATAAGTTTACAATAATAACGAATGTCATTACTTACAGTGATTTATCTAATTCGTTTCACGAATCAAATTATATGTTTTTTATCATTTCATCATTTTATTTTTTCCATTTATGGTGTCTTCAATGTTATAATTTATTATGCTAAACGAAAACTATAACTGTTACTCAAAAGCATGCGAAACGCAATAAAAATATAATGTTAAATTATTATGTATAATTTAGATGTGAAATCAACCACTGATTGATTGACAGGTAAGCTACAATGCTGCCGGTGTGCTTGCTCACATGGCCTCCGACGGGCCGCGAGCTTGGACCGTGTCAGAGCCTGCCCGAGACATGGTGCTCCAGCGTGTGGCCGCTGCCGTTGAGCGCTGGGATCTACGTGCCGAGCGCAATATTAACTATCGCTCGTTCGAGCCGATCCTAAGCCTCTTGCACGCTCATCACACACCGCAGTGCCAACACTGGGCTGTGTGGGCTCTCGCCAATCTGACAACTGTTTACCGTAAGTATTTGCTCGTATAACGTAACGCGAGTTTGCTTTCATTAATGGAATGCACTAATTAGGTCGTCGTACATGTGTAAATTAGGCTAAAAATGTAATTATTTTTTTCAGCCGACAAGTACTGCACCTTGGTGGAAGCCGAAGGTGGCCTGCGACTGCTGAACGAGTTGCTGCAACACCCGCGCCCCTACGAGCCGATCAAGAAGCTGGCCTACATCGTGATCGACAACTGCGCCCGCTACGCAGCCAGAGACACCGCCTATAGCCCCCCGCTCTCATCGTCCCCTGACAACTAACTAACGGAGTTTTTCGAGGAGATCAATCCTCGACTGCGTGAATAGCGCCGGTGTTGCAGGATCACCATGTGTGTAATACTATCTGCCATCATCGTCACTGGAGCGAGTTCATTGTTTGTCAAGATCAAGTATTTTGGTCAGTAACCAGTAGTTATGGCAACCTTGCACACATGGACTTGTCACAAGCCAAAAACTTTTAAAATTTATCATTATTATCATGACCTAAGGAATCACTGTGTTAGTACAATAAGTAAATTATGGATGGCACACGCCAGTAAATGTAAGCGAAATTTTACCTGTACTAGATTAGAACTAATACCATTTCTATCAAGATTGATGTATATCGAGCTTACAACCCTGGGGCTGACCACCATCAATTGCTATGTCATTGCAACGCACAGAGCTCTAATAAATAACTATTCTAATCAATCTAATCGTTCTTGTTACACTTAAAGTTAGAGACCACAGGTGGATATGTAGATTACGAGTCAGTCTACATTGCGATCTGTGGTGTAACTGTTTCTTTCATACTTGGTTTTCTGGCAAACAAGAGCCTGCCATCTATGGCGACTACCGTTTTGATTTCGTATAGCCAATCACCACTGCATATTTGAAAATGAAGCATACATTTCATGGTGTTGGTCGGCTCTTAGGTTTACGATACATTTTGAGAACATAAACAATATTTATATCATTGTTTGTGAACCTTGATCCCCCTTTAGATTCGTCTAAACATATTTTCCTATTTCTAGAATATAAAATAAGGCTACACCTGACACTAAGACTCAGTGACAGTTTAGTTGATGGCAGCTATCGTTAAGTTTATAATTATGATTATTGCTTAAATTTTCGTTTCGTGCTTAGTAAGAATATGATCTGTACTGTGTAATATAGTTCGAACTTGGTAGAATCAGTTTATAATAAGTAACTATAATATATTAATTTTTAATTTATGACAAATTATTGGTAAATATGATTATTGTTGGTCTAAAAAAATTATTTTAAGCTCCGTGAGAACATAATGTTTGGAGATAGTATTTAATTGTTAGTGTTAGCATGATCAAGGCGTGCACACGACACGGTTTGCCTCAATTTACTATTCGAATAGTAAGACAAAGAGCCACTTTATTCGAGGTTTTAGCACATTGAATTACGACTACAGTCGATTGCGAATAAATTAGAGTAGCGTCTGCGATTGTGTGAAGGTTGTGGTGAAAATATGTAGCTTACTTAGAAACTTGAATACTTGTGATAAGTTGTTGGGGAAATCTCGAATAGTGAAATGGAGCAAAAGTTGCATGACCTTCATTGTAGTAACATAATAAAAATGTTCTTTTAAATTGACAAAGTTACATATATTTTTGACTTTGGGGCAAAAGTTGATTGTTCCTCATTTGTTACAATTCAAATGAGTATATTATTTTATTTATATCGTCGGGCGATATGATTTATATTTAATAAAATTAAATTTTTATACAGATTCTATATCTCTCGTATATAGTCAGGTTGTCTCTCGTGCTGCGGGGAGCAACCTGAGATTTATATTAGGCAGATGCACAGCATCCACCAAATAGTAGCAGCAAGTGGGTTGCCACAAATATTATGTACTGAAGAAGCTGCGCTGGCAGCTAATGTTATTATTATTGATATAATTATTACAAACGGAATATAAATTATGTCCATTACTGTCCACGGCAAAACCACACAAACCTTATGTTGGTTGTTTTATTTTCGATTGTCTGTAAACACCAACTGTTCAATTACATCGATGATGTGTCGTAAAAAAATGATCCTTTGTAACTCTTTACTTAAATACATCCAGATATACCTATAACATTTTATTCTTGACATTTTAGTCTACTCAAATCACGATACATCTACATCGGTCCGTCCCGTTTCCGTTGCCAGTGTCTAATAAATATTTTGATATCATATTTCTACTAACTATCAATACTAATACTAGTCATATCGTCTTAGTTGTGTGGATATTTGCATTATACTAATAATCATAATAAAAATATGCCTAAACATCTGATTATTACAAGACGTAAACGAAATTGAAACTCCGTGATTTTCCGAATGAAGATTATTTATACGAGTGATGATGTTACGTCGTTGCCACATAAAGTAGTGATGCTGCTATTACTTGGCTCTTTTGTTTTACATATTGTTAATGTTGCCTTACACGTATTGCACTGCGTCATCATACAACAGTTGTCACGCGAAATATTGAATGAACTCCAACATAAAACGGAGGAACGCTTTATAATTTCGCTAATGTAATTTATTTATTCTAAACTCTTGACATTACGATTTTCTAATTTATATGAATTATTATTGATTATTGTGTTTATATAATGACATTGAATTGACATTGAATTCCTTAGGTGCTCCGCAGACTACTTTTTATCGGCCGATAGTTGAGGCTGATTCGAAGCGCGTATTTTGAATGAAATACGATATAATAATGTTCTGATTGGTCGCATATTAAAGGAGACTTCATGCCCATACTTAATACAATGGGGCAACTATCGGAAGATAGTTTTGGTAGTCTGTGGGGATATTTGCAGTACTAGTAATTATAATGATTGTCTATTTATCAACAATATAATTAAGCATTTGAAATTGGTATTCATTACGTAATTCCGATCAGATTGATGTTATTATAAAATTTTGGTGTGCTTATTGTTTAGCTATCCAGTGTACATTTTTGGATCACATTGCATTCGATTTGGAAGCGAGTCGGTGAGTCTTGAGGACTAAAATGTCGTTCCAAAAATTGCATTGTTGATGTAGCTTCATCAGTATTGTAATTGAATTAATGTTTGATACAATAGTTTCATTCATGTGTCATAGGTGTCTATTATAATTATCTTTGCAGCGTGCAATCGTGCTTTTCTTGTTAGTTTGGGTAAGAAATGCTTAGTTTGGCAGATTCATTTGTTGGATTACTCATTGAATGTCGAATAGTAACATTTACGATGGATGGTTTGGGAACGGACAAACCCAACAGTCGGCACTGTGAACTCAGTGTGCGGAAAAGAACCCGTATAGGATCAGTTGGCACTCTGCAAATACACACAGAGTAAAGGTTTTGTTAGAGGAGCACTGACATGTCTGGCATGCGCATGCGCTGCAAGCGTAAGCGTGCCTGAGCGTCGCGGGTACTTCTTAGGACGGATTAGAAAAGCACTTGAGGAAAGCAAAGCAAATGATTTTTGACTTTCAATGTTATCCCTAGAAATATTTTAAGATATTAGCCGATTATTGCCGTTGAGAATTTGGAGTCTTATTACATTGTGCTGTTCAGGAACGAATTAATTGTACAAGAAATGTATAAGCGAGGGATAAATAATGGAATTATTTGCGGATTAAATCGGCCTTGCATAGAGCACATGGTAAACGGCATCATTATATGTATGTGTAGTGGATTTTAACATTTTATCACGTTTTTGTCGGATCAGTCGTAACAGTATGGCAGTCGGTGTTTTATGATGTTTAATAAAGTAAAGAAATAGTATTACATTTTATCTTACGTGTACATCGGTACTGTATAACCGATCGTTAGATGTTTAATGTCTATTTTATTGTAATCTTCTTAGTATGATAATCTTTGTGAGGTTCGCACATGGTTTATTTTAATTTTATTGTTTGTTATTTAATTAAAGCCCTAACAATTTGTCTTCTTGAAACATCCAATTGCCGTGTCATATATGACTATAACATAATTCTGTTTTGTTGTTCATTATATTGTATGTTTACTGTCGTTGATCATGTATAAATCTAGAAATCTTACCTCTCTGATTGTCATTATAGAGAATAATAAGTTATCAATAATCAATAAATATCTGAATGTCCATACGTGTCGATTCTTTTTGTTAAATTCATTTTCATTGCGGCGGGACTGATGGTACAACCCTCAGTCCCGGTTGAACTCGCTACATCTTAATTGTCACTACTCAGAACACTCTCGTATCGGATAATTTATTTGTGATAATGATACCACGACCTCTCAAAAAACCGGCGTGAAACAACCACAGCGTTGTTTCGCCCTCTGAGTGAGGTTACCGGAGGTCCATGGCTTCTCCTTTCCCATTCCTCCCCAATCCCTAAATCCCAGGAATCCTTATCCCCAAAAGGCCTGCTAAAATACGAGAGAAATGAACACCCCTTTGATGTGTAAAATAAAAATATGATCCGCACGCGTGTCATAATCGGGGTAGTAGTTTCCGTATTGATCATTGTGGAAGTCTCTGATTGGATATGATACGGCTCTAAGGCACTTAAAACACTTCCCTCAAGGAATTATATCTAGTACATCACAGTTTAATACATATCCAGGTACAACAGCACTCAAAAAGGTATCAAACTGATACTTAATTTAGGTATAAACACCATTATTCATTGAGTATAACCGTGCGCATTAGAGCGTCAATCACTTGATAAGGATCAGAATTTGAAGCAGGTCGCCGATCCTCTAGAAAACCGCATTTGTTTTCAGCTACAATACGCGGTATCCTAATGCTACAGGAACGGTCTGCAATTCCTATAAAAAAGTATTTAGTTTTCAGTTTTAGTTGGCAAACTAGAATACGAGTAGGTACGTATTTGACTACTTATCTAAACAGCTCTTATGATGTCATATTTTATAACCGATGCATCATCATTGTATTATTGCCGCATGATACTCCCACTGCTGGATCTAGGCTTCCATTTATACATTTCAGAGGTTTCATTATCATCAGGATAGGAACGGCCTGCATACAGTGGCTCCCTATTAGGTACCTTAATTATTTGGGTAGAGTATGATGAAGCCGCTGTTGGCGGCGTCTTTTGCAGATAACCTGGACGGCGTTCCGCACCAACGTTTCGATCCTCAAGGAACTTCATATACGAGATAGATTATCGACGATTGTGCAGTTGCGAATACTGAAGTTCTTTGGGCATATACAAGTATCAAGTATCTAGAAGTATGAACTCTATGGAGCCGCTTGTGGCACAAGGTCACACAGAAAGCACGAGACCACGAGGCCGGTCTCCGACTCGCTGGATAGACTTTATTAAAAAAACTACGAAGACGACCGCAGTACAGTGTACTCGCAACGCTCAAAGTCGACAAAAGTGGAGAGACCTCGCACAACGTGCTGCTCATGAAAGGAAGGACGACGGTATGGCGCAACCCATTCATTTACAGCCACGACCACTCTGCCAAGAGTGTAACGACTAAGAAGTTGATGAAGCCTATCAATGAAGCATTAGCTTATTCGAAGCCGTTAAAGCGCTGAAGCCTTTGCCAAAAAAGTGGATGACGATGATATCTAATAGTTAAGAGATATTTAATGTATATTAATTCTTCTTCGGGAATTGTATCGTCTCACTAAGCATATTCGAGTCAAAGGTATGAAAAGAGCAACATTTTGATGTTTTCTGCGAGATCTAATCAGAAATGAAATGAGGAGGTCGGCAAAAGTAGGTACCAGCAAGCCCAACGCAGCATTTCCTCCTACAAGGTGGACAGACTACCAGAACAAGGTCGTAGAAAGCCACTGGAAGAACCAAAAATTTGGGTAGTTTGCTTCTTGGTTTCAACCGGCCCATCTGGAAGACCTATGTTGATGTCTTGTTGCTTTTGTGACGATGCAAAACAACCGAGTATTCTTTATGAGGAAGATAAATAGTTTGTGAAAATATTAGGTAGGTAAGCTTTGTAAATGTTAAGTTACCTGCAGAGAATTTTTCAGTCATCGTTTCGCCAGATAAGGGTGTCTTGTTGTCTAGTTCACCGTGGGCATCATACACCTTAATGTGCCTTTCATGTGAGGCAGCTAACTTTTTTATTCCTTTCTGAATTACCCTAAAAATATATTTTGTTTTCTTTAAATAAAATTTTAGATTAGGTAATTACACCTATTAGTAACTGAATTTGACGTAGGTATCCGTATTGGATTGATTGAAGACACAATGCGCAGCCTGCCGAATTCACTATGATATGCGTGCACCGCGAATGATGTGCAGCACTTTTGGCATTTCGTTTGTCCAACTACGTTGACACCAGGCTCTGCATACCTACTTCATAGAAGACATACATATGTAAGTACATTTTCTTATTTTTACGAGCAGACGTATTCCCTGATGTTAAGCAACCAGCGCCGCCTATGAACACCCGCAACCACAGAGGAGCTACGAGTGTGTTGCCGAACATTTGGGGATTAGGGATATGGACTACAAGGATTGGGGGAAGGGAAGGATTGAGCCTCCGGTAACTCACAAGGCGAAGCTCAACTACTACTAAGGCAGTGTTATCACTTTGGTCGAGCCGACCAATTCGTGCCGAAGCATGGCTCTCCCATACTTAAAACTTTGCTTGCTCGACTTGTCCGCATAGACCTATACCATAGTAATCTTCAACTATGATGTACTGAAAATATAATGCTCTAAGGTACCTGTGCTCTAAATACCTATACATACCTAAATACAAATTAGATAAATACCTGGGTAAGTAAAAACTGTACACTTACGAAATACCATTTTCTCCACGTGTAGCTAAAGTGGAAAAGTTTACTCCGGCCGCAGATGTAGACCACTCCGCTACCGGTTTAGGATCGAAGGAGATCGAAACTCCGAATTGCTCAGCGAGAATTTTCAAAATGAAGCGAGCCATCCAGGCGTCGTCTCCAGCATTTATTCCAACCGAAGGACCGACCCGATACTGCCACTGTGATGGCACTACTTCTGGATTGGTACTCCACATAGGAATACCAGCGTATAGACAACACCTGTAAGTTTTAATGCCTGTGTTATAATTCCATAACGAAGTACCTACCTACTTAATATAAAAATAGATATCATAAAAAAACCTTATCTTATAAAATCATTAGGTCGAGTTCGAGCATCGGCAGGTTGTAGCCTTTTAAAAAGCCCGCCCCTACAATTTTCGGAAGTTCCCCTCGGTTTCCCTGGAATTTCATCATCAGATCCTGACCTCATGAAAATGGGACCCTCTCGAGAGTACAACCTTCCAAGAGAGTACATCCTCCTTTTTTTGAAGTCGGAAAGAAGTAGAAGTTGGGAACAAAACTTCAAGTTACTTCCTAATTAATTATTTATTTATATTTAGTGTTTTCGCGGCAACTAATTGACGTCGCGTCGTATATCGCGCAATGCTGCTCACGGATGTAATCCCATAACGTGGCTTCAAACCAGTCAAGTTTCTCGTCAAATAGTTAGATAGGTACGTGCTTAAGTCATTAAACATAATATGATATAATTCATTGATATGTGTTATGCAAGTTATAATAGGGTACGTAAGTACCTATATATACAGTCATTTCTTCCTTTCATACACTTTGATTTTGAACGAAGAACATATCAAGGACCCGGTTCTGGAGCTCAAATAAAACAACTTTTTCCATAAGACCAAAATGGAATAGTATAAAAAATTACTTTGCCATGCAAAATGGTCAATAAGCTGTTGCGATTTGTACGGGGGGATAAATTTATTTTTGGGATTTCGATATTTTCTCATGGAAAAAGTTGTTGTAATTGAGCACTAAAATCGGTTCCTTGAATATGTCCATCCTTCAAAATGCCACCCTGTATTTAGTTATTGTAGTCGTCGTGGTGGCCCGGAGGTTAAGGAGCTCGCTTCTCATGCATGAGGGTGTAGGTTCGAAACCTGACAAGTACCAATGTGAGTTTTTCCGAGTTAGATGTACTTTCTATGATTATTTAGACACCAATGACATACGGTGAAGGTTAACATCGTGAGGAAACCTGGACTTATAATTTCTAATTATAAGTTTGAAATCGCCAACCCGCATTGAGCAAGGGTGGTGATTAATGCTCAAACCTTCTCCGTGTGAGAAGAGGCCTTTGCTCAGCAGTGGGCACTTATGGGCTGATGATGATTTAGTTATTACATACAAGAGCACGACAGGGTGTCCATACCTGGAATGAGCATCGATAAGTTCTCGACCGAAAATTTTATCGCCACCTGTGCCGCAATAATAAAGTGGTGAACTCTGAGGATAACCACCTTTTGGCCACCCTACAGGTCTTAAATCGGTTGGGTTCATCAGGTAAAAGTACTGCTCCATGCCGAACCAGGGCTCTTGTTCCTTGCATTTATTGTACGTGGCTGCGCATTTATATCGATGGTTAGATCCTGTCGGAAAGTGAGTTGGTTTTCATTATACAAATTAGGTACATAGACATTTTTATTTTATTCGTTCTTGTATTAGAGAATTATAATACATTAGCAGTTCAGAAATAGATGTTGAGATTGAGACGTCTCAGAAAAATTTGATGTAACTTCAATGTTGTGAATTTGATGCCACAGAGCCCTAAACGTCCCGCATAAAAATATTAAAATTAACTGTATATATCGTAGAAATGACATTATTTGTGAATTTCATTACATTTGTCTTTGAATTCTATCCATAACAACAACATAATATGTACTCGTAAACCTTTATATTAGATTTGTATAAATATATTGTCGTAGAGACGATCCTAACGTTTTTGTTTTTCACGAAACTTTTCACGTTAAGTGTTTATGGGACGAAAATTCAGTCTAGCTCCCCCTTCAGGAAATAAATATATAAACCGAGCAAGGTTCGTTCATGCCGGTTCTTAGTATAAAATGTGACACCACTTATAGGTTCAGCTAATTGCAATGAAAAAGACACATTAGTAATAAGTACAGCAGTGTTATTACCCTTATTATAACCATTTTAATTGGAGAAACTAGAACAGATTTTTAGGTTTATCTAGTGGTATAAGATAAAACAGAGTGTAATAAATAATTAAAGAAAACTTTACAAACAACATAAATTAGGTTTCTCTTCCAACGATCTTCTCTTGTTGTGTCGTTAGAGCGTTTACAAGCAGATTTTTATAAAATAGGGACTCGATAGGAGAAACCTTCAAGTATCCATTTTAGAACTAGACTAACTACTAGCCACTTTAGCATAGTTTCACTAGCTTCATAATATTAGTATAGCTTATAACGACGCACGTGTGGGTTCCAACTTATAGTTGTAGGTGTCGCACATAACCAAGATATTGTTGCCACGTTTGAACGGATCATTGTATATCGCTCGAGGAAACAAGTACATGTCAGCATTGTTCGGTTTTGCTAGGCCACAAGTACTTCCGTCAAAACTTAGTATTGGTAAATCTGTAACAAGAAATAAATAGATACTAACACCCGGTTTCTGAAAGGCTAAAATTATCTAATCTCCTGTTAAATCTCTTGTCAAGTTATCTGATTGGTTGTTGATAATTCAGTCAACCAATCAGATGACTTGACAAGAGATTAAATTGATATTAACATTGATTGGCCTTTCGGAACCCGGGTGTAAGTATGGCAGAGCCATGCTTCGGCGCGAATAGGTCGGCTCGAGTGAAGGTATACCAGGGTCTCACAGAAAACTGGCGTCCTTCCTCTTTCTCTTCCCCAATCCCTAAATCTCCAAAACCCTAATTCCTAATCCCATAAGGTCGGCAACTCACTCGTAACTCTTTCATTGTTTCAGATGTCCATGGGGCATTGCTTGCCATCAGGTACTCCGTACTCGTTGGTCGTCTTTAATCTAATCTTAAAACTTTTGTAAGTAGATAATAATAAAACTAAGTTATCTGCGGGAGCAATGTAACCAAATTTGCGGTTAAGTTCCATTACGTAAATTGCAATGCCAACTCTGCTGTCAGATGTTCATAACATAGATACCTCCTATCTTCTTGTAATACATACCTTGAAAATTTTCGTCAAAAGTATTCTTATTCGTGGTTGCCCTGAGCCTGCATTCGACTCTATAGAAATTCTCAAAGTTTTTTGGACAATAGTACGGCGGCATGTATTTACTTTGCTGAGAATAAGTCATACTAAGATATGTTTCCTTCCTTATGCTCTCCTCCATCTTATCCATCAAATATGTGAATTTATCTGTAAATATATGAAACTCTCTTAAAGCAGTCATAATAAAGTCATAGCAGTCAAAGTGACTGTCTACCTTCTTACATCTACATCGAAGTCTTGTTAGTAGAACTATTAATATCTCAAGAACGGTTCGTCACGCTTCTATGATCAGGCTTAGCATCTGGAGATGGAGGGAATGCTTACCACTTTATAGGTGCACATAGCTGACGTCACATTCATAAAGTAAGTAGTTTACCTTCCACCCTGAGTTCCGGGTCCAAGCGTAATGCCCGCTGGTGTTTTTAAGTCAGAAAGAGACTGACGCTCCCTCTCACCACACCCAAAAGGAAGACAATGGATTATTTTCACTTTTCAAAAAATATTAGTTCACCTTTAGGTTTGATAGGTAAGAAGTCTAATGTTCTATATTTGCTCCGGATATCTTCGCCGGAGCCATCGATCCAGACGTACGTAGCCAGACATATGTCCTTAGATATTGGAAGGTTGGAGTATTTATCCATTGGACTTATTAGCAAGTCCTGCTTATTTGCGATCTTTACGAGGTCCTCTGTGGATGGGACAGGTACGCAGAACTGAATCATCAATACGTATACTTAAGACCTATATTTCTATGTCACTTTAACGATAGTGCCTTCAAGCTGTGACATGCCAATAGAAAACTGTTAACTGTTGAAGACAACTCAGGAACTGGTGAACTTCATAGCGTGGAACGTTTTTGTAACTATACATTGATATATATTGAATAAGATTTTTTTAAGAAGGGTTATGTACTAATTACAGTGTAGGTAACATAAATATATAATTGAGTTGATGATGACAAGCCTCCACGTTATATTTTCGATTACCTAATGCCTAATCTACCTATAACTTCATTCAGGGAATGATATAAGAAGTACATATTAATTGATTAAATAGTGGCAAATTGACCAGATATTACTGAAAATGAGAAAATTTATGACGCCTGGCCTTTCTTATTCGAATGATTTATAATCGGGTTGTGAAGGTTTACTCGACATACCTACGACCCCTAGTAAACTGAAAATCGGCGTAAAACAACCACGGCCACAGCGTTGTGTTTCGCCGTATGAGTGAGATTACCGGAGGCCCAATGCTTCCCCTCTCCCAATACCTAAATGTCGAAATCTCTAATCCCCAAAGTTCGGCAATGCACTCGTAAGTCCTCTGTTGTTGCGGGTGTCTAATTGTCCATGGGCGGCGCTGATTGCTTACAATCTAGGTATCTGATTGTACGGCCCGTCAGCCCGTTTGTGCAAATAATCCAGGAACTTACTTCGACGATGGTCTGTTACAACACTTGCTGTATTCATTTTGGTTTACACTCCTTCAATCTTCTGTTCTCAAATTATCTAAGTAAGTATATGAGAATTATTAATTTAAAAAAGATTGAAATGTAACAGTGGGTTCGGGTATTTAAAATCTCGCTACAGCATTACATCGTCTTTACAAAAAATGAATGAATAATTTACATAAAAAATGATTTGGTCAAAGCGACAAGAGACAAAATTTTTGATTTGTTTACATAGGTACTCTTGACGTACATAGTCTTGACATGACATAAAGCGAGGTTCAACCACAGATATACTAATAGTATCTATACATATAGGTACTCCTAACTCATGGTTAGGCCATGGACCTAATATAACAAACGTTTGTATAATACTTCCATGGGTTAGATAGAGATATGTAAATGAGGTAAATTATTATTATCTTATGTTACTTATGTATATGGTTGAATTATAATGATTGAAATTGAAAATGATCCAAAGATTTCAGTCGGTAGGTATGTTATAAAATGATCGTTAGACTCCCATTGCGAATGTTTTTACAAATTAAAATAACCAACTGCAATATATATACTTAGAATTATATTTCGATAAGCATTTTTTCCAAATACCTATAGGATACGATCTAGGTAAAATAGTTTTATTCATTTTACAAATAATTTTGAGAAACGAGTTACAATTTAATGTAAACTCGAATACTTATTTACATAATAATAACAGCATTATTTTGTCTTATTTAACTTTTCAATCGTGGCAATTCGAGATACAATGGATGAACGTCGGCGTTCGCTTGATGAATGAATTGGCGTTATCTGCGAATGCAATGACTGTTTAATAATGATGGTGTACCTATATATTATGTAGGTACCTTTTAAATGTATAATGTCTACATCTTCCGAAAATAAATATGCATTATAAGTACTTATTTAATAATAAAAAAATATGTGAAATTTTTTGATTGAAAACGATGTTTATTTTGATTAACTTACGGTTCTAAAATAAAATGTGAACACATAAGTTGTATCCTATCTTCTTCGGTATTGAACTTTTTTTCCATTGTTCTCGTAGCTTTTCCGGAAATTCGACCTCAGACCTTAGATCGTCTTTATTTTATTGTTCCTTATTATTGAACACATTTTCTTCACACATTTACTTTCGTTGTTATCGAAATTACTAATAGATCACAAAATGTATCTTCGTCTTTCAATAAAATATAGGTATGAATATCTGTCTGTAAATGTTCTTTACCTTCAAATAATGTGTAGATTTAGTGCGGCGGCGACAAACAGTCCAACATCAAAAGTAGTGTAATATCTACTCTTGTCGAAGTACAACTCGGACAAATGAAATGGGTAGAAAGACTGGTTGACCTACTTCATTTTGTCGAGTAATGTACCAGGCGCGTATGAGATAAAGCGGTGGTTGACAAACTAACAAAGTACTGATATCGACGCTAACGTCCTCTCGTAGTAGGTGAATATAGCTCAACATAAGTTTTAAATGCGCAACATAGATGGCGCAATAAATTATTTTCTTATCGGGACTCCCTCCTACAAAATAAACCGGTGATTTATTCAAAAATAGCTCTTGGCCTCACTAAAATAAAGTGCAAATTTGTAAAACGCATTTTTGCAAAACTTGGCTCAAAACAGCTGAAAATTTGGCTCCAACGGTACTAGGACCGCATAAACGTGAAGTAGTGGATTGAAAATTTTGTAATAAGCGACATCTATGTTGTAACTATGTACTACTAACACTACACATAGTTGCTGTCCAATGCTGAACGACGAACGACGTTTTCAGTTGTTTGTAAGTAGTAAGTTTGTACATTAATTGTTAGATGGCGTTCCACCTTAAGATTATTTAATAACAAAGGGTCGAAAATTGTTCTAGCTAAAAGGGCCACATTATGTACTATAGAAATCCTTCTATAGTACATAATGTGGCCCTTTACATAATGTGAAATGAATGTACAATACCGGATGGTATTGTACACTCTCTGACTATTTTGTAATAATCTGTCTATGTCACTTTCATGCTCGATTTGGCCAGATTCTGTTGTGTTGTGTCCTTAGACAAACATTTAATATCGTCCTCAAACAAAATATACACATATAACAACTTTCAATAAATTCGTGAATGAATTTTTCATATCTGATACTCGAATAACATCGTTGATACTTATCAACTATTCATGATTTCTCTGTGAGATAGTAAGGAAAAGGAAGGAATATTTAATCAAAAATAATATAAGCATAGCTAGTACAACAAAGTATGTTTATTTTTTTATAATATCTCGTATTTTATAACAACATTTCTTATACGCTTACATTTTGTTAATCATACCAATTTCCGATGCATGCAAAACAATTTTAAACATCTTATACATATAATAGCATAAATAATTTTATTCAGACGATAGGAATATAATAATTTGTGCTCTACACGAGTGTACATGGTGTTCACGTTTAGAAATACTTCATAAGTGCTCAAACTCCTGAAAGGCTCTTGCGGTTCTCTTTACTTTAAACTCTAAATTACACGCAAATGATTTGCTTGCAAACTACCTTCAACATTAACATACTGGTAGATCCTATACTCGTAAACTGATCATCCGGACATCTTTATAATTATATATGTATGTAGTTATCTTGTTAGTACATAATATGTCAAGCAATTCATGTGTTCTCTTTCATGTTATTCACTAAAACTAATTTGCAACTATGCATTAAATGAATTTGTTAAAAATAATGATATGTGGTTATTTGTATACAATTAAACTATTTAACATCAAAATAACAATTTTTAAATATCACATAATATTCGTAGAAATATTTACCTACTTATACAATATATTAATATCTTATATGGTCCTTTTAAACGCACTACCTCTATCACGTGTCTGTTTAATTATTTATTATCTTTTGATTTAGTTTATCATTTATAGTTAGTGTAAATTGAATAATCTATTCTATTGAATACCTATAGGCCATATATTATTCGATTTGTCGTCGCTAGTGATTATAATAATTATTAGATATTACAAGGTAAATGTCTATACAAAAAATGTTACTTGGTGTTGCTCTTGCGGTATATATGTATATCACTAAAATGGAAGAGGTTCAATAATGCACATTGGTGCAGGTACATACAGCTTGCGTTGGCAACCAGGCACGAACATAATAGACGGATTTATTGGTGATGTGTTCGCTAGCTGACACGTGGCGCAGGAGTGGCCTGGCGGGGGAAGCGCCACTGTTATTCATTGAGTATGCAGGTGCGCATCAGGGCGTCTATCACAGCGTACGGGTCGCAGTTCGAGGCCGGTCGACGGTCCTCCAAGTAGCCCTTCTTCTCTTCGGCCACAGTCCGCGGTATCCTGATGCTGCTGCCACGGTTGGCGACACCTGCCAAGTTAAAAAAACATTAGTCTCTTTGTCGTTTAGTAGTCGGAGTGAGTGTACGACTATCATTTAGTAAGTACTGAACACTTACCGGCACTGAAGTCATTAATACTGGCAGTCTCGTGGAGACCAGTCAAACGTCTCTCGTTGTCCTTTCCTCCGCGAGGGTCATAGACCTTGATGTGCTTCATGTGAACCTTAGACAGCTTGTCAATCGCCTTCTCGATCTCACTGAAAGTGATTAACATTGTTAGTTAAGTAGGTATACCGTGGTCCAGTGACCACGTTACATCGTTGTTACAACGCGTGCCAGTTAAACAATAAACAACGCATCAAACGGTGTCGAAAGCCGTTATTAAACAAATTAAAATGTTAAAGTTGATTGTTTCGTAAACTGCACTTCACATGACTATAAAAGAATTTTTTTCAGCAAATAAATCAGGAATTTTATAAGAGTGAATGTTATTCGAATATCATTGATACTTACATAATACCGTTGTCCTCGCGCATCTTCTTGGTTGAGAAGTTAGTATGAGCTCCAGAGCCGTTCCAGTCTTGGACTGGTTTGGGGTCAAAGCTGACAATGACTCCGTACTCCTCAGCAAGTCTGTTCAGGATGTAGCGAGCGACCCACAGATCGTCGCCAGCGGTCACTCCTACAGAGGGACCCACTTGGAACTCCCATTGCGAGGGCATGACCTCGGCGTTGGTGCCAGAAATCGGAACGCCAGCAAATAGACAACATCTGTAATAGGAAAATTAAGAATAAAATAATTATTTTCCAAGATTAATTCCATTTATAAATCAATGTTACATTATTTACGTTTACGTTTCGATGGTAGAATAATTTATTTACCTGTAATGAGCCTCGACAAGATCCCTGGCGAAGACCTTGTTAGCACCAACACCGCAGTAGTATGGGCCTTGTGGTGGGGGGAAGCCACCTGGGGGCCATCCGAAGGGCCTCAGGTCGGAGTCGAGCAAGATGTACTCCTGCTCAATGCCAAACCACGGCTCATCATCCTTGCACCTGTCATATGCCTCCTGGCACTTGATGCGGTGGTTAGTCTCTGTGGAATAAATTGAGCAAAGTTCTTTAGTGAACGTAGTTCGGAAGACCGGAACATAAATTCACAAAATGTGGACTACATTACAAATTCGGTACAGTTACCGCTGACCCGTGCACTATGTGGTCGAATACCTAATCTAAAATAAGTTAAACAATGCGCAGGTCGTGCTGTCATGCAATTACCATAAATGCGTAATTAATTCCGATTGCGAAGCAGCGATGACTAATATACCGCTACTTCATACACACACACATTGTCACTTATTGTATCAAGTTTAATCGGAAGATTTCAATACCCTAATAAACAAAGCTGTTGTTATTATTACTGTTTTAATATAACGCATTTACTGTAACCAACAAATACTTAAAGGAAATCCTATAAGTAAAGTATGAATAGCGCCATTTGAAAATAATATCGAAGCTTGTTACAGAATGCTGACTGTGTAGTGAATTATTACTATCATCTGAGTTCATCATTCGAAAGACAAAAGGCAATCGGTTGCATTGTGCAGAATTTTAATGAACGCACCTGTCGGCTCCATGTTGTACTTGTATGTGTCGCACATGACAAGGATGTGGTTGCCACGTCTGAATGGATCCCGGTAGATGGCACGGGGATACAGGAATGTATCAGAGTTGTGCCCGTCCGACTGTCCCGTGGAGCTGCCATCGAAGTTCCAAATCGGTAGATCTGTCAAAATACACACATATCACATACCTGATACATACTATTCGCAGTGTATCAAATCATAGTATACCTAAACTAATGGTTAAACTCAATTACTCTAACATAATGAGGACGCAGGCACTCTATCGGACGTGGACACTTAATTTACTATGAACAACAACTTTCCAATGAACTAAGAACATTGAATGAATTCTATCGTAACATTTGTACGTCTGCTTGAGGACAATATTGCTTTGAAACCTTTTAAGTTTTCATCAAAAGTGGTAGTGATACAAATGGGTTGCTATTTCATTTGTGGATATTATACTACTGCATGTATTCGTTACATAGTGAAGTGCTTTCAATATATTGTCTACTTTGAATAAGAAATTTTAAGTTTTAGGGAATATGTAGCCTAAATCATATCAATGGATCTAATTCTGTGATCTATAATATGTAAAGTAATTGTAGCAATACAATCCAGTCAGATAACACTTTGTTTATTACATCGCCATGTTGTTTACAGATCAGCTCGTTTCACTGAAGGTTGAACAATTTACCTAAACTGTGCTAATTGCTTTGTTAATGAGGATGTAATAAAACCACGCTCATAACATAGGATGTGCCACTTCACTGTTTCAACCACTGGTGTACATGATTTGAAAACCGTGACCGAGTTTTTTTTTCAGGAAATGGAGGTCGTAAATATGACATTACGCAAACGAATAATGCTAAATGTTATTTAGGACACTCACCCTTGGGTTGCTTAGGAATGAAGTTCAGGGTACGATCTTTGCAACGCAGATGTTCTCCAGTCCCATCGATCCAGATGTATGTCGCCAAAATTTTATCCGCAGGAATAGGGAGGTCATTGTACCTTCCCAACAGGGTTTTAGACAAAACCGCATTCGGTGAGTTGACCAGCACTGGTCCGGATAATATCTTCGGGTTATCTGTGGATTCAAAATAAATATTGTTATAAACTATTTAACGGAATTAGAGGCTGTAATTGTTTTTTCTTCTTGAAGAAACCTCAGAACCTCGTTATTGGTCGCTTGTGTTTTACGGAACCACTTTTATAGAACCTATAGGTAATTGCTTATTCCTGGAATTTGAACCGTAAAACGCGTGTTTCAGATTTTTTTTACCCTATAATTCCACGGAACCCCCGTCTAGAGGCTTTATCGAAACGTTAAGGGGATTTGCAAATAAACTTTCAGAAAAATCGAATAACTGCAATTTTGTGATTATAATTTTTAAAATAATAATGTGTTTTCGGTAATGTGTAAAATGCATAATTCTAGTTCTCTTTTTAAAACCTGCTGCAGTGCCGACCTTTGTCTGAGTTTAGGATTACACTGGTGACATTATTTGATGAGTTCACAAGGTATGGGCTGGTGTGAGTTACATTCTGCGGTGGCTGTTATATTCTGTAACACACACCGCCACCGACATACATGCACCGTAATTGAGTCCCTTTGCTGGACAGTAGGTACATTTATATTGTTAGAAACTTGTCTATGGTTGAATGTCGGTATATATACTGTCTGTCGGTATATATAGAAAAGTTGTTCCTATATTACTAAATAAATACTCTAGTCAGTATTCCATCAAACGAATAAATTTTTCACGTCGGACTAGTCAAAATTTACCCAGTACACATGATTAAACAATAAATTTTCTCATTCGTTTTCATTATAAGAAAAGGTTAATGGGTCGTTAAACTAAGCAAACTGGCTGAAAGAGGGCTCTGGAAATCTTTTGTCGACCTACTTTGTAGTGGAATTTTGAAACAATGTCGAGCATAAATCTTCAATGAAGGTGGAAGCAACAACGTTTCAGTGTACCTGCCTTATAAAAGTTTCAGGTCGTGTTAAACCTATACAATGGCTGCCTACGTTGTGACATAATCTTTATACCTACATTCGTGTGACAATGGATCGTGAGTTTGACAACAATTGTAAAGAAAAAACTGTGTATATCTCAGTTTTATGAATACTACTAGCATTCATATCCACTATGCGTTTTCATTCTGACAAAATTACGTACTATTCGGAAAATCTTCCTGAATACATTGAATTTTTGTGCACTGAAAAATCAACCTTATGTAGCAAGAGAAACGTTGTAACCTAACAAAGACGTTTTGTGAATTGATTGGTCTAACACGAATAAGAGCTATAATGGAGTGCGTCCGCCGAACGTTTGTCCATTGAAATGGAGTTATTGTACACGCATGTTTGTACACAATCCGCCTTGGAGCTAACTCTTTTGTGTTTAGTCGTCGGCCTGAGCTGATATTACATAAGAAGGTAGAATTTGCTGTGTGGTTTTCCTTAATACACTCATTTCTGGCCAGTACTGTTTATGAATCCTACGAAATTCGGTTGGATTCCAATTAGATCTAGGTACGTTCTTATTAATTGTAAGAAGATAACGATTGTTTCACAATCTCTTTGTATGTTATATGTTGTCCTAGTGGATAATATTAGAAATCTACAAGTATTCGTGTAGAACGCCCTTCTTACAAGTCTTACCTTCTATTTTTGCGTGTGCGTCAGTCATCTTGGCGCCTTATAAAAACGTACAAATCTGTAACAAAAGAGAAAATATTTAGTTTTCATTTGTAAAAAAACGATGATGAATATATTTACAAAACATAGTATAATAGAGATTCGCAATAAAACACAGCATAAATATTGTTTTGATGTTAGAGAAGGAAAAATCAGAACAGAAATAAATCAATATCGGTCGTATAACAGGAAATAAACTGGTGTCAGTGAAAATAGCTAACAGATAAAATATACTGAGATACTGAGACTTTTATGACTATACAGCCATTTGTAAAAACATTGCTTGGTACTAGACGGTGATATTTTTGTAAAAATATTTCCATAGGTACTGCAATGTTTTACGGGCGTTGGTACATGTATTGTTGTAAATATTGGTAAATACCTTTGATGTTACTGATAAGTAGACACAAGTACGTAGTTTGGTATTAGATTGTATCTATACTTAATATTTACATATATTTTCCTTGACATTTGAAATACTATAAATAAATGCCTACAAGTCAATAAAAGAAACATGTTGTGAACACATTAATTGCGTTGTAAGCTTATTTATACATTGAGATTTATATTCGTGAATGAAGAAAAAAAAATTAAGTAGGTATTATTATTTTAATCGGAAGTTTGAGTAGAGGACAGGACAAAGAAATATTTTAAATAAATTACAATATTGTCATGTTATAAAATATTAATTTGAAATGCTAATTTAAGTGTTTTATATCAATCTGTTGATAATGTCAATTAATTTGCATTATGATTATGACAAAGCAAAAAACTTGCTGGTTTTTATAGACAAGATTTAGTTGTTTTATTTTGTTTGAGAGTTTAACCTGTGTGGCAATAAAATAAACAGACCCTTGACACATAGCAACGGCAATTTCACGAAATCGATTGGCGCGGTGCCCAAACTACGATGACGAGGAACTCTGCGTATGTTCACCCAGCAGCGTGCACATCGCACGCAACGTAATGCCACCGTCACGGGCAAATGAAACGACTTTGAACGAAACAACTAGATTAGGAAACGCGGGCAAATAGAACGTTCTTCACAAATGTTGTAACGCACATTAAAATAACCTGGCTCAAATTCTCACTTTTCACCTAAACGCGTTTTTTAGATAACCTCAAAATGGTCAAGGTGTATTTTTATATCCTCAGATTTTACACAAACTAGTATTTTAGCAAAAAAACTTAATAAAGAAAATATCTACATCCTACACTCGAGAACAAACCGCGTCATTAATAGATACGTATGTAAACAAATAAACTGAAAATCTGGTAGCGTAACTAATGGCTATTTATTGGCAAATGTTGGATCTAGGAAAATTCCCGGTTGCTCGGAAACTTTCTTGATGACTACTGGCTACTCGGATGATAGACTATAGAATAATACTATGCGCATGATTTATTTGCTTGCCGACGAAGAAAAACAAAACAAGTTTCACAAAAACTCTAAATTGAAAATATATAGAAGCATTTTTAATTTCATAGTATAATAGGTAATATAACAATAGTCAATAGTGTAAGGAACATTAGTTGTTATCTATAGATAGAAAGCAAGGTTAAGTCGGTTCGATCGATATACATAATAGTCATTAGCATTGTTTGGTCACCGCAGGGCCAAAGTTTGGCGTTATTAATTTCTTATTACACTCCGCTCTGCATTACGTTGAGTGCTCGATTATTGCTTTACCTTTTGACCGTGATAAACCGAATGGCTACCATACACATACACCAACTTTTACAACACCATAGCCTTTACGAAATTATATTTGGAGTGATAATGGCCATAATAGACTTCGCAAATAATATTACTAGTTTCGATTTTTTGAACAAACACTACATTCACGAATATTAAACATGGCCAAGATCAGAACCGTTTTCTTCTAGTTATTACCAGAAGCTAATAGCCGAATATGACATTGAAAATATGTTAACTGAATTTAGTTATAGGACACTTTGTATCCTTTGTTATATGTAAAGAATGTGGAGCTAGTTTATGGAGTGTGAGGATCTATGCCCTAATATCTCATTAGGTGAGTAGCTGATGTGTGCGAGCGATTCTAATTGATTCAATCTATCTATCATGTAACACGAACTAATGTGTCTAATAAATAATTAGGTGTCATGAAACTGACAATTCTGGCGCGATTGTAATTCAACAGCATAGCAATAACATGCCAACTGGAGTTATTAATAGAAATAGCGCATTCTCTAAGTTACATTATACATTACGCGTGTGATGATGAATGAAGAATAATTAACAGTGCAACTATTCACGTGCAGTCATACGATATGTTGAATTTGAGACCACCATAAGTAAAGCGGACAAGAAATCCAAAGCGTGCCACGATATTTATAAAACAATTTTCACTGTCTTTCTGTTTTCACTTAGTGTAGTGTAGGCAATTACAATACATCGATGTTTTCGTATCGAGTGTTATTTACACTCCCGTTATCAACTGTTGACATTTTACATGTTCAATTTTATCTATGTGGGTTAATGTAATGGCTCATTTGTATTACGCTGGTGCCGATACGGTGATAATAGTGACGCTATTTTTCTTTGAGATCGGATGTTCTTACAGGGTGGTTAAGTAATGTGAGTGTAGCCATTATTATGCTGGCCGTGGCTGCATCACAATGGATCACGACTCAAAGCGTGGCATTTGGCTGCTTAGTGACAATTCATTTGTATCGGTCTTATCTCGTAGAGCCTACGCGCGAGTCACGTTGCCTAGCTATGTGATGTTCATGCGTAAGTACCCGGTAATGACAGGATCACAAAGCCTTTATTATGCGCTGGACTTGAACACCTAGTACATTACTCACAGTGCGCTTTACGTTTGTTTGTTATGTTTAGTATGTATTACACAGTTCTGTCCTTGGCCTTGTCATCAAAAGGAGGGCGATGACTGTTTCACGCAGCGTTTTCGTGTTAGGTCACTAGCTGCGGTGTGCTCAGCTGATGCTCAACGCCCGACGCGTTACAGCGGTCGACTGCTTCTTTATTATTTAGAACGTGTTATATTTAGTTCACGTGCGGAAAAATGTTATGCGTGAATGAACCGCTGCCACTGGCCGGCTTCGCGGACCTAAACAAATAACTCTTTGTTTGTTTCTTTAGTTCCTATCTAATAAATACACCGATAATAAAAATCGTGTATTTTTCCTTTTTTTTATCAAGCTTCAGGCTGCCCTTGGTACGTTATTGTTTTTGGGAACTTTGTGTAACATTTGGAATCGAACAAAGATAAAACAGAACGTTTCTTAAGCAGTGGCTAACAAAGAAAACGTAGAAACCAGCTTACGCATTTATTTAAAGATCGAAGATAAAGCGCGGCTTACAAAGAACGAGAATAATTCGGTCATTGATATCTATGCAGTTCAAGTACCTTTGTGTTTGGATCCTAAACCTCGTCAATACGCCACTTTGTTCCGATGGAACCGAACTGTATGATTAATAAATGCCAAGGCAGTCTTCGACGAAAGATATTCTAAATTAGATGCACCTCGAAGCTACTTGCATAGAATCACATTTGTATACTTACAAATGAATTAAGATGAGTGGTAATAAATACATGTATGATTTGCGTGATAATTGTAGTTGTCCTTCTTCAAATTGAATTAGCCTTCTTCCAGAAATTGCACTGGAAATCTAGCACAATTGTGATAAGTAATGTGCGAAACTTATGTAAGTACTTCAAGTAATCGTCACAAAGTATGTCATTATCATATAACCATATACATATATAGGTTATCGAGTGACTGGTACACGTACAACTCGTTTCGTCATTAACAAAACTGGAACTATCGACTGTTTTTGCGAGACATCGAAATGGTCTTGACCTGAAGATATTACGCCGAACGGAGCCGATCCCACTAAATGACGGTTCGATGCTTTATTGCATAATCCATGTATGTTGAAATATCAACAAATAAAATAAAATTTATACTTTTATTGCTACCATAAAAATGTTTGAGCCTGATATTTATAAGTTTATATCGGTGTACCAAATTTTCTGGACTTGAAAAGAGACGAGTGAGTTTGTTTCTTAGAGTAGGAAGCCATATAGGAAATACCGGCTTCATCTTTTTTTACAAATAATTTTGACGTGTGAAAGTAGTTGTTTTATAAGTAGTCTAATTAATTACAAAAATAAATTCAAAATAAAGTGTTGATTCCTATAAAGGCGTTTCTATGAATTTTTATGTCAGAACTACTAGGAAAATCATTGTAAACATAAGGAATGAGAATAATATTATGTAGCCACAATAACAAAAACAACTTTGTTTACAAGTAAGATTAGACATGCGCAGCGGAATTATGAAATTACTGGTATTTTAACAAAATGTTTGTGCGGCCCTTGGGCTAGTTTAGTTAATAAAAATAGCACGGAGTAGTTATAAACGCAACGGTTAACTGAACAAACTGTATATCATTGAGATTGATTTCATTCCGGGATGTGGCATCATTTTACTTTTAATATGCAGCTACTAATTACGGACATGTCTGTGCGTACATCGCTACGTACTTGTTGAATACAAGGATATGCTTGAATACAAATTGATTGGATACCAGATGAGATCGATAAGCTTAAGTACTGCGGTGTTCGTGTCGTAAACAATGTTATGAACGTATTGTACACCGTAAATAACAAACTGATTATCAATACTGAAGGCGACTAGATTAACAACAATTTACGCAATAATGATCGCATTCATTTTTGGGTCAAGGGATCAGAAACGCGGGCGGATTCACTGATAACATCCAAAACAAGTGTTAGAGTGAACGATAACAGTGGCCACACCGATGCGGACTGGCGACTAGCAACTGATCAAAGATAATATAATCAAGGTGTCAGCTGTTCATTAATTAAAATTATAATTCTAAAGTCCTCGTAACCTCGACTCGAGAATTATAATACTCTGAATAAAAACGACGCAAAAGTTTCCGGAAGTCCAGTGGGGCTAATAAGCGGCTCTGGTAAATTACCTTGCGTTTTAAATGGACACTTTTTGTAGTACCAACGCCACTTATAAGAAAAACTGTACGCGGAATTGTATTTAGGTCAGACAGTTAAGTGAGTGTCTTTTCGAAATTAAAAAGTTATTTTGTAACAGGCTCGTTATTTTAATTATAGTTTCAGTATCAAGGAACGTTTTAAAGTACTATTTATTCTTCTTGTGACTTAAACAGCATAATTAAGTCTGATTCCTATTGTCGGTAAGTAGTACCACCATTAAAATCAGCAAATAGATCGTTAGGATCGCTAATAGAAAATCTACGATATTAAATTTGTTAGTTATAGCCGTTTAAAGGATAAGTCATCGGGCCATACGAGTAAACAAACAAGCAATTAGGTACTGATAGCAGTTAAGTGCTATAATTAAATAAATAAATATTTTTAAGCCATTAAAGTTTAATAGATATTACCATTATATACCAATTGAGAAGTTGTCACAATAATCTTGAGTGGCGATTTTCCATAAAACCTTGTTGGCACCTATTTGTTTATGGATTAGCCTATTAAGTTTCATTGAAGCGCAAAATTAAATTTCCCTTACTTGTTTTCGTTTAAGGCCATTATTACGATATTTAAACTATTCTAATACTTAATTATGTATGTAGTTGTGTAAAAAACTACGCAGTACCCCATATAAAAAATAGTCAAATTATGTATTGGGTATCTGATCGAAGAAATCCCTGGTTAAAGTATACAAAGAATACATAGAATAAATAGAAGTATACATAGAATTTCCCATTGTAATATTGGCCCTTTGTGAACGAATATTTCATAATTTTCTTTAATGTTTAAGCGTGTAAGTACTTTCTCAGTTTTGAACGATATATAACTTTGTACTAATATTGAGAGTCAAATAGTTAACACAGGGTATTTCTTGCGATATCGAGCATACCATTTGTGTAAGAACCCTTGACACAGTTTGCTCCGCTAAAGGGTCTAGTACCTACCTACATAGATTGTATTAACGGCAAGAAAGGTTGAGGCAATGTACAAAAACCTTTACAAACATCGTATCAGCGTAATTTCGACAGTTATTCATATAGTTTACGTGTTAGGTGAAAAGTCAGATGATCTACATCACGAGTTGGTAGCGGTACGGGAATAGAACTTACGATCGATTGAAGGTTTTTGGGTTCAAAAATAAATCTGGTTTATTTACCCGCCGACCGTACGATGGAGGACGGTGGCATGATTCATTATTTTCTTTGTTTTTATTGCACGGGTGTTCCCTGCGACGCCTGTGGCGGGCGGTCGCGGGTCGCCCTGATAGTGCCAATGTTACTGACCTCTCGTCCGCACTAACTGAAACCCAGCCGCATCCGCCACATGTACACATTTCTACACATTTTATTGCTTTCCCAAATACTTTAACAGCGAACTATGACCGAGCTGAAGCCGTTTGCAAATAGAAAAAAAAACAGCGCCACTGAACGAGATAGCACTCCAACCTCAACACTCTCAATGCTTTTGACGATTTGCAGCGAAAAATAAACTTTTGAATACAGATTTCCTCATTGATAGCTTTACCGGCGGCGTTTCTGGCTGGTTGAATGGCGGACTTTTAAGCGGAATTGAGTTAAAATCAGGGAATTTATACTTTTATCGTCGATGATGAAATTTTCTCCATAATTATTGGCATGCCTCATTTATTTATCTAGTAGGTACCTACATAAAAATGTTAATGAGATTTTTTAACGTCGTAATATTGATGTTCGATCTTCGAGAATTTTACTAACTATTTCACACATAAATTACTGTAAAAGGTATTATAATTTTATAAGGAAACTCCCTTATAAAATTATAAAACCATTACCTTTGGAGGAAAAATCTGTAGCTGTTTGTCTAACAACAAATGAAATTGAGGTGAACGCCGATCAATATAATAATTACAATAATTGCCCTAGATCGTGTTGTTTTCTGGGTAACGATGAGTAAGTCTGATTTTTTTTATAAAAATCTAGTAATTACTTAAATTTTGTACTTGGTAAATATTTTACGAAACTGGCAATAAAAATGCCTTCTTAACGAATAATGCTTACAAACTTCTCTCTTTAACGATTTATATAATTTTATCTGGCTGATACGAGAGTACCTAGTTTTATTTATCAATAAAAAAATGAGTGTTTATTAACAATCGATTATAAATTTGTTCAGGTACGTGCAATATTATTTTAACGAAAAATCCGGTACTCCGGACGCGATATGGAGAATTATTCTAATTTTTTAATACTTTTGAATATAATAAAAAAAATCTTTATGGATTGTCGTAGTTTGTTTGTACGCATAAAAGGTAAGGTAACTTAAACAAAGGCGCGCACTAACTCACTATTGTTACATTACCATGGATGTAAAACCACATTTATGACGAAGTAAATATTAATTAGACGAAGAAAAACATAATGAAAAATATTTTTTACGACACCATTATATTCACTTATTTACGATCCGAATTCAAAAACTTCATGTACACTTTTATGTGTTAAAAGTCACGAGACTCCGTATGTTTCTTATCCTTAAATATTTGGACAGGTTCCAGTTGCCCTAAAAGTTACGGAGATCCAGTTTACTTTTTTAAATTTAACCAAACTAGTTACTTTTAAACTTTTTCTCTTGCAAAAGTTTTGTGCTTTATACCTTGATTATTGGACATAAAATGACTTCGAATATATAACTAAATGAGGGTTTAAATCATTACATGTTATTCATATTTTGTGACAGTTCGACTGAGCTAGTTTTCTTTTAATAATTTCGCCATAAAAAAGTTCGCAAAGCATTTGACCGCGAGCGCATTTGGTGTGAAGTACAAATATTTTGGTCGGAGCTGATGCAATTCGCATTGCAGCCGGATGGTGGTGGTCGAGCGGCGCGAGCACTCCGCGGGCACGTGCTGCCAGGTCGCCGGGGAGTTTCCACACCCGGCACGAGCACGACGTACCACTCGACTGATAAAATATACACAACACCGAACGCACTCCGACGAATTTCAAAAATATTCTTAAGCCTTACTTATCGAAAAAAATATTTTTTACAATACCTTAATTCAAATCCCCGACACGATCGCTGCGTAACGCGCGGAAACTAGCGTAGTGTTGTTCGTTTGCGAAGTATCGGAACGTTCAACTGATTCGATCGCTCCGCTGTGCGATCTAAGGATTGACTGGTGTTCGTGCGAAGCGCTGGTGAATATATGCGCGCGCATCTCCCCGCGCTTGCGTTGTGGTGGGAGCACGACGCTGCGTACAAATGTGCACGTCGAGCGTACTATCCTAGTTCTTATCAACAAAGCATAAGCATCAAAATGGAACAGATCTGTGCTGCTCATACTTTGTTAGCACTGCATGTAAAACTGTCAGCAATTCATTCACTGCCTATGCCGCGAGGGAGCGTCGTCCAATGTGTAGTCCCACCCATAGTTAGGTCTTCCCGCTCAAGGTACATTAATTTGAATTGGGTCGTTACCGGCAGGTATAACTCCGAACTGTTTTAAACTTTATGAAACTTGGTGTTATCGTGTTTTGACACAATATGATCAATATTTACAACTGGTTCTTTGTTGTTTACACCATATTTAGTTATTATAGGGAGTTGGGACTTTTGGGAATTGTAACATTTTAATCTAGGAGCAGATAAACAATTTGTGAGGTACATGCTTCGAGATAATTGTTAACAGATTGATAGTACATTTTATTGTTATCTTTTAAGATATTTATGCACAGAAACGAATATCTGCGGCTAAATATTAAATCTAAAGTAAGGATGAATCTGATATTATGTAACGTGTACTTTGAGGAAAAAATAGCTGTTATTAATTCTGAAATAATGAAGTCCACAGCAGCATTGTTCCGGAATTACCATTGCTTATCTGGTAATAAAAAGTCTTTAATAATCGTTTAGTAAATGAGATTCTAAACTGAATATTTTGTACTAGTATCTTTATGTTAGTGTGTGTGTGTGTGTGTATAGAATTCGTTGATAGTTGTATGGAGAGCAAATGAAACGTACACCTTCATACATAAAACACACAATATGTGTGAAACTGTGGAGCTGTCTACATCACAATGTACATACACGGTAACGACTGATTTTAATGATTTCTTTTCAGTGTAAATCACGTCAACAATTCTTTCAAGTAATTCCAGTAAATTCTGTGGTAAACTTTTGTAATCGTGCTTCAGTACTTATAGAAAAGGTTTTCAACGACAACTGTTTTAACTCTTAAGTCATTTTTATGTTCAAAAGCAAATATATGTGACTGTTCGTTTGTGTATAATATTAATTGTGATTATATTCAAGCCCTTGATACTCTAGATAAGTAGTTGGTAAACAACGTGACCATTATAATCGTTATCTAATTACATTAAAAATAGTTTATCAGACAGATGAAATATCTAGAAAAGTGGTACCGTCGCTAAACAATATAAATCGACTTATGTACTGTAGAATTCACAAGATAATCACCATAGCAACGGAGTCAATAAAATATGTCTTGTTATCACTGTTTTGTTTGTTGTCGCATATATTATGTTTTCCTAAATATGAAAATTTAGGAAAACATAATAAGAATAATATAAAAAGAATAATATAAAAATAATCAAATAAAAAGGATTTTTTATTTGATTTTGCAGTCATGTTTTGCGTAAAAGTGTACTGTACATATTAACGCCAGGTTATTTTATTTAACTTGTCCAATTTCCGTGCTTCTGGTGGACATATCGGAATATACCGGTAATGGCTTTTCGAACCTCGCTTTAGCCTGTTATGTTCAGTTGACTGTTGCGTATTCACTGGTAATGAAAAAAGTAAGTAAAAGATGTTTCTCGGGTAAATATTTCAATAAATAAGTAATACTTTATGGATGTAGAAGTGGTCTTTTATGTAAACTTCTTCTAAAACGGGTGGATGAACTTGTATGTACCTAGACATATTCTGGCAGCTTTCGCTAATGACGAAGAAAAATCTTCGTCTGCCTTCTTAACAAAAGAAAAGCGTCAATATATCAGATCTACTAAATATAAGTTTTTTTTGAGACTTTGAGACAAACGGATTATTTGATGGTAAGCAATCGGAGCCACCCATGGGCACACCACGCACCAGACCCTTTGATCTGAATAAAGAGATTCTAGAGATTTGATTCTTTGTTTATTTAAGTTTATGCTTAAAGTGCATGGCTTAAGGCCTATAAGTACTATCGCTAACCAATCCAGAGATTAAGTGGTAACCTCACACAGAAAGTGAAACACAACGCTGTTTTTGTTTCACGCCGGTTTCCTGTGAGGCCTTGGTATCACTCCGGTCGAGGCGACCTATTCGTGCCGAAGCGTGGCTCTTCCCCACCTTTATATGAGTTGCATAAAATATAGCTTGTTTCGTGTACACACATCGGAATCCAAGATGTTCGACCTCGTAAGTACATATCTAAGTTTAGTAGTATAATGTTTGGTTTTCATACAATCGAACGTCCGATAGTTTATTCATAGAATTCAAACAGTAACCGTATTAGTTGACTACGCAAGTACTTCATGCTTTGCTTTTAATTTAATACGAATATTTTATCTTCATCCTTAGTCTTCTCGTCTCTAGATGCAGAGGAACGTATGTTTATTAAATATGAAACGAATTACTTCGTTCTACCCATTCATGAGACTGAACATATTATTTGAACTAATAAAACAAAGGTCTCTCTCTCTTTAAATAGAAAATCTCTCATTATTGTCAGTACTTACTTCTATATAATTTTCTTTTTCACGCTTCTTTGTTGTAGCAGCAGTAGCATAATTATAAATGTTCTATTGTTTTAAATCCTCACAGCACTTTAACGAGTCCTGTATTAATGAAATTAATATAAAACTGGGGCAATGCTTCTAAAGAGGACTAGTGAACGATGTTTAATCGCTTACACAACGTTTTTAACTATAAATACCACGTGAAGAGAAATGTAAAGGTCTGATAACGAGATAAGAGCTCTAATTAAACATTACACTCGAAGCATTTTAACTCAAATCCAGTTTTATCATATTTTAACAATTTATATCAAACCTTTCGTTTTTACGATCTCTAGTTATTTTAAAAGTATCTTAGAAATCTCTGTACACTTTTGTTCAACTAAAAGAAAAGAGAATTTTATGAAACCAGACCCAACAATAATTTGCCCGATTGAATATTTGGAGACTCGCCCTGAGCTCACCTCGTGCATCAAAAGAGGTTTGTGTATTATACAAAGGGGGCTATTTCTAACGAGTTTATACGTTAGATAGTTCGTAGGAAATCACTTTAGAATAAAAGCGTAACTAAGGAGTATTAAACATACGACTAGCTCTTTGTAAAAATGTCATGATGGTTAAGAATCCCGCTATGATGGCACTATGATGGCACCCTTGGGTTCGAAACCTGGCAAGTACCAATGAGACTTTTTTCGAGTTATATGTTTCTATGATTATATAGACCCTATTGATGAACGGTGAAGTTAAAAATCGTGGGAAAACACGGACTTGTAATTTTTAATTAAGTATAAGTTTGAAATCGCCAATCCGCCTAGAGCAAGCTTAATGCTCAAAGCGGACCTTCTACGTGTGAGGAGAAATCTTTGCTCAGCAGTGGGCGCTTATAGGCTGATGATGATGGTGTGACATTGTCCTAGTACCAAGAATGCATACTACAAAGTGGCTTTATTGTTTGTTGTAGAACACAATCGCCTAATAATGTGTTTCTTAAATAATTTCAATGTAAACCATTAGAAGTTCCGTGAAAGTGATTAAGGAGTTTGCATGCCAAATGAAATGGTAGTTAGGGCTTGATGCTCGAAACTTTTTAATGTTTATTATATTGAACAAGACATATCTAAACAAAATTATCCCATTAGTTGTATGCATAATTGTTTAGCATATGGCTTCACGTTTAATTTCCAATGTGAGTGGGCATTGTGAAATTGGTTTTCAATTTGCAGCTTGAATCTGTTAGCAATAGTATGGTAATTACTCCTTTGTTTTCGATTTTGTTATAAGTTCCGTCGTCCGTGATAATGACTATTCCTTTTGTCATACACTGGGTATTGAAAGAAATATTGCTCTTAAGTACTTGCACTAATCATAACATAATAACAAGACATGTTTTAAATAGAAGCGTTTTTTTACCTATTAGAAATAGTGTCTATTGTTTTATTCATTCAAAATATCAACCATTTGAACATTATACCGTTATTCTTTGAAATCCAATAGTCGTTGACTTTTATCTAGTGAATAAAGTGAGAATGTTTCGTGTATTTATTTTTTAAAGCCACGACACGTCCGCGAAAATCCAGCAGCAACTAAGCTCGGTTCAGCTTTTATTTTACCTATTCAAAACTTTTCATCAATGTCTTTTTCAAAATACAAGGCTTTTTGAGATAAATATTTTCGTTTGGTCAGGCGATGTATGTATACCGTGTCTCAACGTCACTTAAATTAATTTTACACTTTTTAAACGTATAATTAATAGTAACGGTGAGTAAACTGTAAGACTGTGTGATATATAAAATTAATTTCCCTTTATTTTGTTTGAGTAAATAATATAAATAAAATGATAAAACAATAATCTATACTAATATTATAAAGAAGTAAAATTTGTAAGTTTGTATGTAGGGGGTAATCTTTGGAATCGCTGGTCGGTTTGCCAAAATTCTTTCACTGATCGATAGCTACAATGTTCCTGAGTCTATGAAACATCACGCTACGATCCGCTGGAGCTGAGCAACGGGTGACACAGCGCGAGAGTAGCTAGTATAAGTATAAAATAGGTAAAAGACTGACTAAATAGTTTGAAGGAAACAGGAATCATGTACGTATTTTTACATATTATAACACCTATGTAACTATCTACTCATGATCGCAATAAATATTTGAAGTTTGAAATTTAGTAGAAAAATAATAGTTCGGTTAAAAATGTAGTACAGTCATTTAGTGTTTTGCCGTGAAATCTTGTCAATGTTGGCAAAGTCGCAGATATATGTAGCTAAGATGAAAAACGCTTATGTAATGATCGCAGTCTTGTTGAAAAATATTCCACTGCGAATGAGATTTTTCTTTAGACAAAAAGCTACGTGAGAGGCTTGCCGCGTTTCTAACAAGCTCTTTATTTTGCGTATAAGTAATATTCGTAATTGATGTTAAGGGCAAATATTTACAAGACTCTTTTAGTACCGGCTTTTCTTTTTTAGATTTAC